ACATCTCTTTGCAGGTGATGAAGCAGCCTGAAGATGTTTTATCTCCTTTTTATCTCCGCTTTTATCTCCTCTTTCTTTAATCTTTTCTCCTTCTTTTCTGTTTATCCTTTCGTGTTCTACTTACATTGCAGTGTCCATACAATCTGTAATACTCTCTGCATGAATTATAATAAAGCTATTTATATGCATAAATCAAGCGGGAAACTATACTGATAGCCATGCTGCTCCACTCGTGAAAGCAGGTTCTCTTTTTAGCATCAAGAATTATTCTTATTGCCACATTGCCAGAAAAGATACTGTCAGAGCCAACTCAGCACTGACAATAGGTGGCAGTTTGGTTTTACACACACAGTAAGGTTAAGACAAGTCTTATGAAAGTCACGAAAAGACTCCTGTCTAGTGAAAACATAAAGAGCAGACTAAAATCATGATGGACAAGGATGGAGAGCAGAGGCCTGGTGCTGAATCTGTTTCTTTTTTTCCATTTAGCTGGGTTTAATGAGAAAAGAAAAAGATTCCAACTATTCACTTATCTAAAACCATTAAAATAGAGAAGCTTCAACTTTATTTCCTGGAGGGAAACATTTTTACTATTCTATACTATTACCTTAAACAACTTCCAAATGAGTATCAGGCTGCACTTTGGAGGCAAATAAAGAACTTAACATCGATGTGTGCTAAAAATCTAGTTTGACTAAGTGTTAATTCTAGCTACAAAGGCATGTCAAACCTCTCAGATTTTTTATAGTAAAATTATTTATAAAACTTTTTTCCAATAACTTGAAATTAATGCAATGCTTTGCGCTGACCTATCACATTCAATTCTGAAATACATGCTAAGGTTGGTCATGGTTAAGGCAAGTAAGTAAGGGAAAGAAATGTTTAAAAATATAGCACATTTCAATGGCAAATCAATTCAAAGTGCTGCATATTAGAAAATAAGGAAAGTGCACTGCAGTGGCACAGAGGCAACACAAATAGTTAAAGAGAATGACATTGACACTTTAAAATTAAATGAGCATATATAAAAAAAGATTAAATGATTGATAGATTTTTTTTCAAAAATCAAAATAATTATGAAAGTAGGACGAAAGTTAAACTGGAAACTAATGTACTAATGTTAGATAGCCGCTGCAGGTTTCAGAGCTTCTACAGTTTCTAGGAGTTTATTCCATGCTATACCTGTAGGAGAAAAACATTGACCGTGTCAATGTGCTAGGAAAGGGTTAATTGTGCAGCATATTTTCACATTTTCCTTTATTTTGAAAATGTCAGATGTTTTCCATTGTATCCAGAGATGGCAAAAGTACTCACTTTCTGTACTTCAGTAAAAGTACAGATACTTGTGTTAAAAAATACTCTGGTAAAAGTGGAAGTACTGATTAAACTTCTTTACTCAAGTAAAAGTAACAAAGTACAGGCTTGTAAATTTACTTAAAGTATAAAAGTAAAAGTAGAAACCACTTTTTTCATGCCGTTGCCTACATTTTAAATGGATGTCTGCCAATAGGACTAGATCTCCGTTGTGTTCATTTTCAATCATCTCGTCGTCCATGCTACTATGCTAACGCCACCGCCACCAAGCTGCAATGATTTGCCGCCAATGAATACCGCCGAATCTGTCGATTCATCTTGTAGTGGTGCGTCAAATGCAACGTAGATTCCCATCCAATTAGATTGAATTTGGTATTGATGACGTGAAAAATAATAACGGTAACTCCATTGAAATTATTCAAAACTAAAGTAACGAGCCAATTTTTTTAAATGTAAGGAGTAGAAAGTACAGATATTTGTGTAAAAATGTAAGGAGTAGAAGTAAAAAGTCGCCATAAAAATAAGTAGTAAAGTAAAGTAAAAATATCAGAAAAATCTACTTGAGTACAGTAACAAAGTATTTGTACTTCGTTACTTCCCATCTCTGATTGTATCCAACACAACAAACCACAGATCTGGCATTGAAATATTGTTAACATTGATAATCATGACAATAAGTTTGGAATCCAAAGGTTTCAACACTTGTTGACCAACTAATATGCTTTCTTTGTATCTGAGAGCACATTTAGTTTAGTTGGAATATAATCTAAAGTCAGCTTTCCTGAATAAGTCCGATTATTTGTTTCTTTCATGTGGAATAGGAAAAAAAATATTAATTTGAACTTGTAGTTTACACCAACAGCCTCATGATGGAGACACTGATCCACAATCCAGTGCCACTAATTGCAGACTTTATGTTCCTTAGAGAGGAAATTCAATATTGAGTCTGCCTTACAGTAAGCATGGCAAAGCAAAGAGCATGAGTCATCCTGCAATAAAAAAGCGTCTGGAGCAAGCACTCAAAATAACCATAAAAGAACAATAAAAACTAAACAAAACAACTTGAGCATGATATTAGAGTTCAAGCCGGAAAGATTGGTTTGACTTCTATTGGGAATACATATTTATGGAGGAGATAACCCAGAACTCAAAATACATGAAAAAGATGTAAACGAGGCGGTAAAAAAAGACTATATTAGTGGGTACAAACAAAAATGAAATGTTTATATTCATGCAAAACTTCACATAAAAACAATAAATACTCCTCTGGTTTAATTTAGGGAGTTGGATGGATGAGGATGGAAAACATGTGGTGTAATAACTGAGTTTCAATATTACATAACTACAATGATAACATTGATTAATAATAATAATCATGCTACTTTCTAAATGTTAAACAGTGACATGAAACTTGTGTTTCCTTCCAGTTGATTTAATGTCTCGGACTATTTTGAAGTGATCTCCATCAATAGTTTTTTACTTTTCTACTCTTCTATTGTTTTCTTTTGAATTTTTTGCTGTTTTTCATTGTTTTGTCTTGTTTTTTGTTGTTGTTTTTCCTCCACGCCTTCAACCTGATAACTGCAATATGATCACCAGGCACTTGAGTAGGAGAATCTTTAACTAAATTTTGCATTTAGAGCTGTCTTGGTTTTTATGTAACCAAAGATTTATAATATTCCTGTGAAACTCAACTATATGACTGCATCCCCTATTTGTTACTAATTTATAAAATAACAAACCAGATGTTACATCAACAACAAAAACATCAGTGACTGTGGGAGACATGGAAGAGCAGTTCCACAAACCAGTTTCAGACCAATTGTGGTTTGTGATATAGTGCATTGTCTTGTTGGAAGTATCTATCATAGGATCAGCTCTCTGTGGTCACAAAGGGCCGGATGTGGTCAGCTACAGTGGCGTCATATCTCTATACGTCTACAATTCCATCTTCTTGTAGTCTAATTGTCCAAATTCGTTCTGGTTTAAATGGTAAAGCCTCACTTTTTCTTGGCTGATATTTGACACCTGGTTTGGTCTTCTGCTGCTGCAGTCCAGCTGCTTCCATGTTCCACCTATTTACATATAATAACCCATTCACCTCGGTTGTAGCAAGTAGTTCTATCAGGTGCAGTTGCTTTGTCAAAATCTTCTCAATTCAGTCTAATAAGTGACTTTGGCTGATATTGCATCAATGGCTGATTCACATTCGGCTTTTGTATTAGTGTTGCATCTTTTGTGTTGGTGTTGCAGCTGTTGTATTACTGTTGCAGCTTTTGTATTTTTGGCGTTTGTATTAGGGTTGCAGCTTTTGTATTTCTGTTGTGGTTTTTGTATTACTGTTGCGGCTTTTGTATTTGTATTGCAGCTTTTGTATTAATGTTTCAGCTTTGGTATTTGTGTTGCGGCTTTTGTATTAACGTTTTGGCTTCTGTATTTGTGTTGCAGCTTTTGTATTTATGTTTCAGCTTTGGTATTTGTGTTGCGGCTTTTGTATTAACATTTTGGCTTTTGTATTTGTGTTGTGGCTTTTGTATTTGTGTTGCGGCTTTTGTATCTGTGTTTTGGCTTTTGTATTTGTGTTGTGGCTTTTGTATTTGTGTTGCGGCTTTTGTATCTGTGTTTTGGCTTTTGTATCTGTGTTTTGGCTTTTGTATTTGTGTTGCATCTTTTGTGTTGGTGTTGCAGCTGTTGTATTACTGTTGCAGCTTTTGTATTTTTGGCGTTTGTATTAGTGTTGCAGCTTTTGTATTTCTGTTGTGGCTTTTGTATTACTGTTGCGGCTTTTGTATTTGTGTTGCAGCTTTTGTATTAATGTTTCAGCTTTGGTATTTGTGTTGCGGCTTTTGTATTAACGTGTTGGCTTTTGTATTTGTGTTCTGGCTTTTTAATTAGTGTTGCAGCTTTTGTAATAATATTGCAGCTTTCGTATTTGTGTTTCAGCTTTGGTATTTGTGTTTCGGCTTTTGTATTTGTGTTTCAGCTTTTGTATTAGTGTTTCGGCTTCTGAATTACTATTGACACCTCTGGGCCACCATATACAAGCTTTTCAAAAGATGTTCTTAATAAAGTGGCTAGAGGCTACATACAGTATTTTGTGCTTTTGGCCAGCATCTTATGAGTTATCTTGTTCTTTTCTCCAGGATGCTTTTCTGTCAAACATTTATAATTTTGCCTTTATCAGTTTATCTAAGGAAAATCATCGAATGAAGTGTGTTTTATGAATGTCCTTCTAATATGAAATGCTTCTGCATAAGTCTTTCACTTACACTTTGGAAACTAGCTAGGTATAAATGGTATAAAAAAAACAAAATCATAAAAGAGTTACCTAATTTTATTGCAAATATCTGACTTAAAATTGCCATAAAATATGTGATTTTTAGGTAATAAACTAAACGTAACTTTGATTTTTGTTCTAAACATAACTTCATTTTTCTTAGAGAAGTTAAGCTTCTCTTTAAGAAGAAAAAAATCATTTCTTCTTACAAACATTCAACTCTTTGATATCAGAGCTTATAAAAATTTTGACTTCTATATGGAAAAAATAGGTTTTTCTTGGCATAAATATCATCCTACATGATATCACTATTATTACTATTGATTTATTTGAACTTTTTTTTCTTCTTTTTTTTACTCTACAAATGGCACTCTCAGGCTTCCGTATAAACAGACCGTTTTGCGTCTTGAAAGTAAAGCGACCTGTTGCCATGGATACAACTAAAATTCGCTGTGGAGGTTAAACACCGTTAGAGAAAGCGCCAGACCGAGGAAGGAGGATAACAGTTTAAAACCCAGAAAGTGTCCAGTGAGATTGTTCTGTTAAAGTTCAGCCGAACCGAATCTGGATCGTCATGGACCCGGAGAAGATAGCCGAAGAGTGGATGGAGGTGGTAGCGCTGGAGAAAAGGGCGGAGGAGCTGAGGAAGACCATCAGGAAGCAGGAAGAGGTTTGATCTCATTAATTCCCAGCGGTTCTGATCCAACTCATTAACACACTGACCTTATTAGTTATTCTGCATCTAACACATTATACAATTTAACTGACTACTTACAGATTATAAAATACAGTTTATACGTTGAGTTAATTGGGTTAATTAAATGTGTTGACATTCTTTTCTTTTTTTAAGAGAAAAAAAATCTGATAACATTATTTTAGAATCCAATTAAGCTATTTTAAATGTTTTGTTTTAGATCACAAGTTTTTTTGTTTTTGCTTTAAAACTGTTGATGTTGTTATAAATAATATTGTAGTGTGTTGGGGCAACAGAGGTTAGTTATCTTTTCCAGGTTATTAAGTTACATGTTTTATTTGTTACTGTTCTTGTGTCTGTTGTATCATCAGTTTCTGTTATAATCTGAAGTACTTGTTGTCCCACCATGACTTTGGAAGGTATGTCCGTTAATTAACTCTCCTCAACGGTTATGTGTGGTTTAATAAAGAAGAAGCTTTCTAGAGTGGTACGGGGTACAGAAACTACCGTTAAACTCAAGTCATCTCTCTGAATAGTTGCTATAGCAACCCGTTAATGCTATAATATGCTCTATGGCGGTGACTTCTAACCAGGGGTACGCGCACCCCTAGTGGTCTTACGAGTGTATTGCAAGTGGTACATGAAAATATGTTATATTAAATAGTGCTGGGATTTACTAGTATTAGGGCCAGGCTAGAGAATTTTCTTGCTTCTATTTTGAGAATAAAGTCACGGGTTGTTGAAGATGACTTTATGATGACTTTATTCATGTAATGTGAAGACTTTGTTCTCGAAATAGAAATAGAAGAAAAAAAAATCTCTAGCCTGGCCCTAATACTCTGTGGTAATATTGCTTTGTGAGGACCCCATTGAAAGATTTAGCTTTTACCAACCTTTGAGTTCTACGGAGCCCCTCTGATGACATGGTCAAAAAAGATGTTTAATTGTGGCCATGAAGTAGTATTTCGTGCGCACGAAGTAGTATTTCGCGGCCACGCAATAAGTATAACGTGCGGACGAAATACTACTTTGTGGCCACGCAATAAGTTTAACGTGCGCACGAAATACTATTTCGTGGCCACGCAATAAGTTTAACGTGCAGACGAAATACTTATTAATAATATCAATAAATCCGCCCCTGTTTTCAGGCTTATGTTAACTGTAATGACTTATCTTGGACAGGCTGCTATGTAAACGGGCCTTTAGTCCTTCGTTTAGCTATGCTGCGGTTGTTTACACTACGCCTTTTCCACCTAAAATAGCGTCTTAGCAACAAATGTCACGTGACTGGCGGCGACCGACTGGGTAAGCAAATCGAGCGCGCCTTAGACCTTAGAGAAGGCGCGCTCGATTTGCTTACCCAGTTGTCCAGGAATGATATTAATATTATTAATAAGTATTTCGTGCGCACGTTAAACTTATTGCGTGGCCACGAAGTAGTGTTTTGCGCGCACGTTATACTTATTGCGTGGCCACGAAATACTACTTCGTGGCCACAATTAAAAAATTTTTTTGACCATGTCATCAGAGGGGCTCCGTAGAGTTCACCTTTGTCTTTGACACACATCCAAACCAAGCAGAGGAACAGACTGAATGTAAAGAACAGTCTGGGATCTGCTGTTTTCCACACTGAGCTATCAAAGCAGATCATGTGTCTTCATAAAAAAAAAAAGTAAAACTAATTAAATAAGTCTGACTATAATTTTTGTTCCCAGTTCATCCAGTTTGTCATTATAAAGGAGTTACTCCCTTATAGTCCCTTATAAGGGAGGACCTCCAGATTTATAAATACAGTTTTATAATAAGATTCTATTTTGTATTTATTTTAATTCCTTACTAATATCCAGGCTAAGAATTAAAAGCTTAACTTAAAAGATTAAGTAAAATATATATATTTTTTAATGATCAGTTATGGTAGGTTCCACTTTTGGACAATCGTCAATAGTTTTGACTGAGGGGGGAGCTCATTGTAAGACAAAATGCTCAAAGGGAAACACAAGTCAAACAAAGTTGGGGAAACACAGGTCTAAGGTAAAGTCTGTCAAAAACGGAAAAAACTACAATTTACATTTCACTTTTTTCAAAATGTTGAAGTAAGCATTAGGCTTAGATTTTTGTATTGGCAATGGTATAACAGACCATTATCTACAAATATTAATGTTTACATATGTTAAAATGATCAAGTTCTTGCATTAATATTTGCGTCTATCAGAAAAATACATACATCATGACTTTGTATTAAAAAGCCCTCAACACCATGCAGCCAAAGAAAGTTTTTAGAGCAGGGATGTCAAAGTCAAATACACCGAGGACCAAAAAACGAAATTTCTACAAGACGAGGGCCGGACTGGTTAGATGTTTATTAAAACATATTGAAATGAACATAGCCTGTTGAACCAAGACCTAACACATTTTTAAAACAAAATATTAATATCAATATTATTAATAAACTTATTAAGATAAATACATAAACTGAAAATGCATTACTGTGCTGCTCTATTATCCAACCGATCACTGCTTTCAGAAAACAAGGGAAAATATGATTGTGTCTTTTTTTATTAAAATTTTTTGGCTTTATTTTGCATGTTTATTGTTTTGGTTTTTGATTACCCCCCTTTAACAATCCACTGGGCTGAAGCTGGTTGTCTAAGGAGGCGGAGGGCTGCTGCGCCCAGGTGTCAGCAGAGGCTGATTAAAGCCAAAATAAAACGAGCCTGGATGGAAGGAGAGGGGAGCTGATCCTGCAGGTGATAAAGACAGACACGCTGCAGAGCGATGGGCAGGTGGGATTCGCATGCCAGATACAGAATACAGGGAGCAGAACAGACAGCACAGTCAGGGCAGAGGTCCACCCCTGTAAGTAGCGGTCCATCTCGATCTGAGTATCGGCGGTAGGAAATACGTCATGGTGTCTTGGTGCGGAGATACTGGCGTTTTCCTGCATCTTTCTTTTAGCTAGATCGGTCTGAAAAGTGGTCACAATCATGTTTTCCCCTGGGAATGTATTGTTGGTGCGTGCAACACAACCGCACCAATACTACATTCCCCATAATGCAACGGTAGCCCACGAAGTCACAGCAGCGCGCACAAGCCGCAGTGGCCTGTGCGCCGGTTCCAATGGTAATTAAATACAATCCAGGGGGCCATGGATAAACAATTCCCGCATCTGGATCACGGTCATTTAAGCTGTCAGTTTCAGCTGCTAAGATGATTTTTAGTCTCTAAGAGATTACCCCCCCCCCCCCAACAAAAAAAAAAGAAGCAAAATATTAAATTTGACCAGGCGAAATTGTGACAAGTAAAGTCGTTATTACAAAGCCGCTTCAAACTAACAATTGGGCTCAATGTCTTGGCCAATCCTCAATGAGGCTTTGCTACAAAACAGAACACATAAATTATTTTAATAGTTATTAAAGGAATAGTACACCCAAAACATGATTAGCCTTCATTTTCTACTCACCCCCATGCTGAACAACACTCTGGAGTACTTTTTTGATATCTCAAATGCATCTGGAGATCTGGGAGGCTTCTTGCTGTCTGCTGACATTCAAATAATGGAGGTCTATGGCGCCCGAGGCAGAAAGGTCCATCAAAGTCCACAAAAAACTTGTCAATATTCCTCCATACTGCTCGTCCAATGTATTCCAAGTGTCCTGAGTGGATAGCGTCCATAATTTACTCGAAACGAAGTCATTTAGAATGTTTTTAGAGCATAAACAGTAGTGTATAGGATTTCCTAAAAGCGCGCGCCTGCGAGTTCACGAGCCTACGGAAACCGCGGCAGACCAAACCAGACGAAAGTGTGCATTCAGCGTCTGCTCTGCCGATAATGTAAGCGTAGAAGAAGAAATGTGCTGTTTACCTGTGCAAAGAAAGAAACAACGAAAGAAAAATGTCTGAGGACTTCAGTGTTGAGGAAGAGCATGAGTTCTTTGCCGAGCTGAATGCGCACTTTCATCTGGTTTGGTCTGCCGCGGTTTCCGTAGACTCGTGAACGCGCTTTTAGGAAATCCTATACACTACTGTTTATGCTCTAAAAACATTCTAAATGACTTCGTTTCGAGTAAATTATGGATGCTACCCACTCAGGACACTTGGAATACATTAGACGAGCAGTATGGAGGAATATTGACACGTTTTTTGTGGACTTTTATGGACCTTTCTGCCTCGGGCGCCATAGACCTCCATTATTTGAATGTCAGCAGACAGTAAGAAGCCTCCCAGATCTCCAGATGCATTTGAGATATCAAAAAAGTACTCCAGAGTGTTGTTCAGCATGGGGGTGAGTAGAAAATGAAGGCTAATCATGTTTTGGGTGTACTATTCCTTTAACAATTCAAAGATAATGGGAACTAAATTTAATAAAGGAAATGAAGTAACAACAGGGACTCTGGAAAGTCTGTAACTGAGTGAGGTGACTATCAGAGTCTTTTCTGAAGTTTGCCTAATTTATTATTCAATTTCATACGGAGGGGAGCGCAATTAAAGCAACACTTTAAGTCATGTCCAAGCATCCACTCTAAATCCCTCAATCACCATATAGAGCAGGGACTATATACTAGACTGTAGTGAAGTCAGTTAACTGACCGTTTGGACAGATGATCACTACTTTTCGCTCCCCATTGATCAAGTGACTCTGCCTTCCCGCACGGTGCCTCCGCCATCTTTGTTATTTGTCGCTGCTGCTGTCACAACAAATCCGGGATACATCTGCTCATCTAGTGATGATCACTACTTATGAAAGTTAGAGTCCACTGCTTTTTTATGCACTAGACATTCAGACACTCATCTAAAATGACGTAACCACTATATAGTGCCCCATTAGGGCGGACATTCAGACACAGCCAATAAATGCAGGGACAGCTACTCATGTCCAGCAGTATCCCTTATAAACGTTTTCATTCTTTTTTTTATGTCGTCACTGTAGATCAACCATTTGCATCTGACATTGCCCCTTTTCTTCAGCCTTTTACTTTTGATGCTGTATCTTATGGGTCATAACAGTTTTGTTGGCCAAAAAGAACCCAAAGGATTGTCTAAACACTCTAATGGGATTTAGTAATCTTTTTCTGAACTGTGGTTTTTGACTGTAACCCACCTTTTGTATTTGTTTGATGTTTTTTTTTTTGCAGCATAAAAAAAATTTGCTTCAGCGACTGGTGAAACTGCAAATCCAAGACAAAGCGAGCAACCCAAGCCCTGCTGAGGTACTTAAAACATGTTTATTAGATTTGGCTTGCTGGACCGTACACAGTCATAAACAAATAATGACACTTAAATGTTCAGTTCTTTATTAAAGAACCATAGCATTGCAATGTTTTTGCTTATTTTCTGTTTATCTCTGAAAGGAGAGTGGTTTAAAAAGCCTGGCAAAAGGCAAGAAGGGGAAAAGAAAAACTGTCCTTTCTACATTTAAAAACTCTTCATGCCTTTGTCAAGCGCTTCAGTGAGATGCTTAGCTATATAATAGTCGCTTAAAGGAAAGTTTGACTCACTCCTCATTTACAGGTGGGAGATGTCTGAGGCATCCCCTGCAGGTATGCACTATTTCTGAGCTTTACCTGTGCCTAGGACGTCCCTTTTCTTAATTCTCACCGATTCCTGAGTGGATCTGGTACAGTTAGAGTCATTATGATTATTTTGGATTCAGTTCTACTTTATCTTTATATGTTTATAATTCAATATATGATCTTAGATACTACTTAACAACCTAATACAACAAATCCTGCTGCTGCAAAGTCTCCTCAAACCATGACTCTTCTTGCTCTATGCTTCAGAATTTATTATTTTTTTCCTGCATTGCTTTATTTAACTTATATTAAAACTGCTGTCTGTTCTGTTACCTTAAAAAGTATTTTTTTCACTTGGCTTTTTTGGAGATTGAGTTTAGGTCTTCATGTTTTTCTTAAAAACTCAAGGTTTTTTCCTTGCAAATCTCACACTATTGTGTTATCTGGGACTGTGCAGACATGCACATTATAATGATCCTCGAAATGGTTGTCCTGTTCTTTTTACATCTCTTTGCAGGTAATGAAGCAGACTGAAGACATTTTATAGTTATCTCCCTTTTATCTCCTCTTTCTTTTATCTTTTATCCTTTTTTTCAGTTTTCCTTTCCTGTTCTACTTACATTGCAGTGTCCATATAATCTGTAAAGCTCCCTGCATAATTATAATAAAGCTATTTATATGCATAAATCAAGCAGAACCCTATGGAGATAGCAGTACTGCTCCACTTGTGAAAGTAAAATCTGTTAGGCTCTCTTTGGCATAAAGACAATTATTCTTATTGCCACATTGCCAGACAGGACACTTAAAAAATAAAAAGTTAAATTTTTCTCTGGTCTGACCATAGGACATTCTTCTAGAACCTTTATGGCTTGTCAACATGTAGTTTAACAAATTCCAGTCAGGCTTTTTTATTACTTGTTTCTGGAACTAGAAGTTTACCTTTAATCTCATTATAAAGTACAATCCTTTTAGTTATTTTTTGTCTCTTTTCTTAACCTTCATATTATCCGTCTCTTTGATTTATTATCAAGTTTTCCTCCACATACAGAGGGGTTGGCTACAGTCCAATTGTTCTTAGATTTAACTGTAGTCACAGAAACCTAAAACTGGAACATCAAAGATGGTCTAATAGCCTTTACCTTTAGCATGCTTGTTTAAAATCCTTTTTCTAATCTCCTAAAATAAATAATCTTTCCTTTGCAGTGCAGTGACAACTCGTAGCCATAAGCCAGCTAGCTGACTGAATACATCATGTAGACACGTGTGATGCTAATTCATTAGTGAACTCACCTTGATTTAAAACTTGGTCACATTTATTTTGAGCCTTTTCTAGGCTATTTTGGTCCAGGCCTGTCTCATTAGCTTATACTTAGCTTACACATATATATATATATACATATATGTACTCTTTTTCAGACCATATTTTCCAAAAGGTTAGAACATTTCTATTTAAAAAAAAAATCCTGTCTCAAAATCTGTATTTTTTTTTTCCTGTTATCTTATGCAGGCCAGTTAGTTATACATCAGCTTGTACACCTAAATTCAGCCAATCATGTATCAATGATCATCTGTCAATCAAATTTTTTCGGTCATAGCATCTTGATTCATATGTCGCAGCTAATATATGCAACGGTTGAAATAAGAATAATTTCCTTTCACATCTTCCTCCTCTAAATAAAAAATGTATGACGGTGGAGACTCATCCAAAACTCTCCTCCTCTTGCATGTTTCCGCTGTCCATAGCGTTCCTTGACAGCGTCGTTTCTAAGTGCTACTTGGTCCCAATGTAATTTCCCATTGGGAACCTACTAGCACTAATTTGCTAACTGATTAATAAGATGTTTCCGACAAACAGGCCACAATCAAACATGCTTGCGAACCTTCCGCCACAACAATCCCGCCCCCTTGATAATTGACCAATCACATCCACTTTATTCTCTTGTGTAAAGTCGGGCACCACTTAGGAGAATTCGGAAAGGCAACGGTTGGAACGGCCGTTTCCCTATGACGTTAAAATCATTCTGTTGAAAAGCAGTGTCGGATTTTCCTTTGTTGATTTTCATATAACTTTTATTTATTATTACTGACCATTGTGGGTTTTCTTTCATCGAACAAGGCGTACCAAACATGTCCAAATATGTTAGAAGAAACACAAATTTTTAAATGAGTGTATGGAACTTTATTGAACGATATCATAATAAATGAACTATCATTACTTTCATCTTAGCAGGAAGAGCTCAAAGCCTTAAGGGAGAGGGCTGATGAGGAGGTGGAAGCGAGGGAAATGGAGGCCAAAGTTCAGAGGCAGAAGGAGTTGAATGCCCAGATGAAGAAGAGGATCGAGGAAATGAAGCTTGAGACCCTCAAATATAAACCTTACAAAGATTTCATGGAGCGCGTGCTCCAGCACTCCGAGGTACTTCAAAGTGGTTTAGAGTAAACGCAGAATTCATTGTAAATCATGCAGAATTAATGTAATGTGTGGCAGTATTTGGTTCATATGAATGAACATACAAAATAACACTTGGTTATGCAGGTAAAATACAAATGCAGGAGGTAAACAAACCTCGCTCCCATCGAGGAGCAGGTAAAAAAAGCGACTTAGCAGTGTTGTTTTTGACAGCCATCTTTGATATAATGACTTATTAGTTTTAGTCGTAACTATATCTGATGGTTTTAGTCGTTTTTTTTGTCAACTAAAACCCAGAAAGGTATTAGTCTAGTTTCAGTCAGGTTTTATGTTGCACTTCATAAAACGGATAAGCTTTACGATTTCAAATAACAGTCAGATTCTTTAACACAGTGGTCCCCAACCTTTTTTAGGATAGGATGTTAAAGGTAGGATGAGTCTTGAATGAATTAACCTGTGACACCTGTGTAACCTTTTTATGAATTAATGCCCTACTTTTTAAAAAAGTGTCTCAAAAAAGTTGTGAAAATAGCAGATCTAGTCCAGAAAATGATCACGCCCTTGGCACTGATGACTGGCTTAAAGGGGCTGTATAGCTTGCTGTGAAATGGTTCCCGCAAGCTATATTTTTGAACATACACAACTATGCCTCTCCCTTCAGACCACCCCTCGAAACCACGCCTTCAAAACACATGAACGCGCATGCTTGTCTGCAGTGCGTCTAGAGCAGCCGGAGCAGCGTGTCGCTGATTTCGGAGCTGGCAGGAAGACAGGCAATAATGAAGATGCAGAGCGCTATGATGACTTCTCTGAAACAGTTTAACACCTAAATTAACTTAAAATGTTTAAATCTGCCGGCAAAGCATGTTCGCTTTTATTATCCTGATTCCTGCAGTTTGGATTACGTACATGAAAAACACGTTCCAGCCGCCGCCGCAAACCGCGAGGGGGCGACTGGGCCATAGGCTGCTGTTGAATGGGATTCCTTATCCCTTATTTCCAGAAATAATATTTGAAGGCAGGATGGTAAACTGGATGAACTGACTGCACTGACAATGTTTATGCGGTGGATTCAAATTACTTTTCACCCACTGATCACAGAAAATATAGCTGTCATTGTTACAGGCAAAGAAAGTATAGGGTAGCTGCGCCCAACGCACATCAGACCCACTTTTTCCACCGCGCAGCCAGAGTAGCAAAGATAGGGTGACCAGTGGTGCTCTTTTTCCTGCACATGTCCTACTTTTCAGACCTAAAGAAATGTCCGGGGGGAATTTCAAAATCGTCCAGGATTTTGGTTGACTAAAGTGCAGCACATAGTCGAAATAGGGAGCCAAGGAAGTTGTATAGACATATTTAACCCCATTCACATCTCTTTTTGTTTGTGCAAAAACAGTATCTCCAAGTTAGATGCAACACATGGTTGAGAGCGGAATAAAATAAAACTACATGAGTCAAAATGTTCAGGGATGTTTAATTGAAGTTGCCTGTGGGAGGCAGGGTACACCATCAGCTGGTTGCATCAATCCAGACAGGATGCAAACATTCATGCACACACGTCCAGGGAAAACTGTATAAGCCTGGATCCGTACTGTACAGTACATAATACAGTTTCTTAAACAGGTAACAAACATAGTCAGTGTCTGCGAATTAAAACCTCTTAAATGAATTTCTAACTGTGCAATACCATGCAATATTTGTTTTTGCCCTGATTATTTATACCTAGCTTTTTTGCAGTTTGATGATATGGATGCACTCACGCAACATTTGGATCACATCATTTATGTGAAGGACATGCTGTCTGAGAGGGGGGCTCAGATCCAGAAAGAACAGGAGGAGCAGGAAAAAACCCTGCAGACCCTAAAGGATCGGTTTGACCATCTACGCATTCAAGAGCAACTCCAGTTTGTCGAGCTCAACAAAAAACTGGAAGAGGCCCGCTCCGAAGCTCAGAAATGGGTATAAAAGCACCTTAAAGTCCCTCATCACAGCCAAGTAATGAAAAAGTTTTTAAAAATATCAGGTGTCATTTGTTTTCTACAGGAAAGGAAGTGGAAGAAAGTCCAGGAAACAGCTTCAAATAAAAAACTGGCGGAGATTGAGACTGAACTTGGGATCCTTGACCTCTATGTCATGATCTTTGGGGAGGAAGGAGATGGGGACATGAGGCCTGAACAGCAGCTGGTGAAGGTGACTTCCCTCACAGAACATAGTGAAATTGAGTATAACAGACTCTCATTTGTGTGTGTTTCTTCCTCAGATCAATGAGTTTATCGTGGACAATCAAAAGATCGTGGCACACTGGGAGGCAATGGAAAAGGAAATAGCCGAGTCAAAGAAAAAAGCCGAGTCAAAGAAAAAAGCTGAGTCAAAGGAAAAAGCCGAGTCAAAGGAAAAAGCCGAGTCAAAGGGAAAAGCCAAAGCATAGAAGAAATAACCATTACAACATAATATTTTATCAATGTTTTATCAGTTTTTTTGTTGCAAAGAGTTTTATGCAAAGGGTTAAAATAAAGCTATTAAAAAACTAATTATGTTGTAAATATGTACACACTGTTTAGTTTACAGTTATTAAGACAAATAGTCGTCTCTGATTTAGAATGGTAGAAAGTTGGGCGTTGAGAGTCATCATGTGACATTGCAGGTGATCATGTGACATTACCCCCTTCCTAAAATACTTGATGAGACCCTGCATTTGCTCAATCTGAGCAGGGTCACAGAGAGAAAAGAATGTGTATCATACTTAAACTGTCATATTTCTTAGCAGAGGTTTCCATTTTTTTCTACTTTAGAAGAAAATTGATACAAAGAAAAGGGAGTTTTTCAGTCATAGCTGCAATAAAGAAACACTGATTTTGCCAAGTTTCTGGTATCCTTCTCCGATCTACAGTATTAAGCAATAATTGATGATATATTTCCATCTTACAGTGTTGAGTAATGAGCATGTGAAAATGTTGATGGCACCCGAAGACAATGGAATCCCCTCTGCTTCTTTCTGTTGAATCCCTTAATGATCAAAATCATCCCAGTATCATTTTTAACATTACAAACATGAAAATGTTATGGATTCAATAATATTAATCTGACACAGCTCTTCCAAGCAGCATGGCTTTGCTTTAGATACTTCCATTCTTATTTTGTTGTGCATCTAACAGCAAACCTATTGTTTTACATAATAACGGTGACAGCTAATCAAAAACTACCATCTTTCCTGCTTCAAAATGACAGCTTTAACTTAAAATTAAACAGACTGTCAATCATTAGGTTCTCACCAGTGATGGACTTTGCCATTTTTGGGCCCTAGGTGAACTTTAGTCAGGGGGCCTCCTCCAAATAAGCCTTCCTGCTCCAGTTGGCCCAGAGTTGGACAGAATCTGTTGAGCTACCACAGTGTTCCTACTGCATAACTGTGAACCAGAGAACAGCTCAACTGTATGTATATATATATCTATATATATATATCTATATTAGTGCTGTCAAAATTATCGCGTTATCACGTTAACGCAAGGCCATTTTAACGGCGATAATTTTTTTAACGTGAGATTAACGCTTTGTGGTTTTATGGTACAATTTTCCAAGTACATCCCGCTGCAGCCTGCGGGAAGGCGGGGCTATTTTCCCCCAGTCTATGCATTTTCCATAGGCTTTGAGAGCGGAGCTCCTCAAGGAAAAAAGACGCTCATACACTGGGTGGCGCTAGTGCCTTTTCTTTAAGCCCCACCACCAACAAACAAGTTGAGTGTCTGGTAACTAGTAGCAACCTGAAATACGCTGAGAAAACAGATTACTGAGGTGAAATGGAATCTGCTACGGCACTCTTGCTGTCTGTGTACGCCACAGGTCGGTATCGTGTGTGTGTGTGTGTGTGAGTGGGTGTGTCTGTGTGTGGGTGGGTGGGTGTGTGTGTGTTCTCATTTTTGTTAAGAGGCTGAAAAGTAACTTTCTAGAGCATAGACTACCTCCATCTAGTGATGTCGGTCTATTGATTTTGATGTATTGATTGAAAATTGTTCATTATTATCTTGGTTAATTAACATCTAATGTTAACTGTACTACATTTTATAGCAGTAGGGTAAAATGCTTGTCTTTGTTCAAAAGACTGTATTAACTGTAAAGACTGTCTTTTACATCAGCCTGTTTTCAGGGCCTTTTTTTTGGCTACATATTTGTTATTTTTTGCTACATGCCTCCCCATCTTCTTGCCATATGTTTCTATGGCATAAATCAGTATCTGTGACCTGTTTTCATTTTAAAAAAAGAACATTGGCACAAACCTAGCCTGTATGTATTTTTTGTATGTTATCGAGAGTATTTAAATGATTTTCAATCATAAAAAAAATTTGCGATTAAAATGCGATTAATCGCGAGTTAACTCAGGCATTGATGCGATTAATCGCGATTAAAAAAATTTAATCGATTGACAGCACTAATCTATATATATATATAGATATATATAGATATATTTAGTATATACGTCCTGAGAGGTAGCTTTCGAAGTTAGCTAACTGTCAATACAAAATCAAAAATATGTATTAAAGGAATAGTACACCCAAAACATGATTAGCCTTCATTTTCTACTCACCCCCATGCTGAACAACACTCTGGAGTACTTTTTTGGTATCTCAAATGCATCTGGAGATCTGGGAGGCTTCTTGCTGTCTGCTGACATTCAAATAATGGAGGTCTATGGTGCCCAAGACAGAAAGGTCCATAAAAGTCCACAAAAAATGTGTCAATATTCCTCCATACTGCTCGTCCAATGTATTCAAAGTGTCCTGAGTGGGTAGCGTCCATAGATTACTCGAAACGAAGTCATTTAGAATGTTTTTAGAGCATAAACAGTAGTGTATAGGATTTCCTGAAAGCGTGCGCCTGTGCGTTCACGACGCTACGGAAGCCGGCAGACCAAACCAGATGAAAGTGCGCATTCAGCGTCTGCTCTGCCGATAATGCAAGCGTAGAAGAAGAAATGTGCTGTTTACCTGTGCAAAGAAAGAAACAACGAAAGAAAAATGTCTGAGGACTTCAGTGTTGAGGAAGAGCATGAGTTCTTTGCCGAGCTAAATGCGCACTTTCATCTGGTTTGGTCTGCCACGGAATACATTGGACGAGCAGTATGGAGGAATATTGACACGTTTTTTGTGGACTTTTATGGACCTTTCTGCCTCGGGCACCATAGACCTCCATTATTTGAATGTCAGCAGACAGCAAGAAGCCTCCCAGATCTCCAGATGCATTTGAGATATCATAAAAGTACTCCAGAGTGTTGTTCAGCATGGGGGTGAGTAGAAAATGAAGGCTAATCATGTTTTGGGTGTACTATTCCTTTAAAGATTGGATTTAATCTTAATTTCTCCAATTTTCTTCTAAACATATAATAAATATATTGCTCCACAAGTTTAAAAAGTCAATCAACATTTTATGTTGCACTGTAGCACTACCATTGAATTGGCGTAACAATAATCCTGTGTTTTAGGCCTTTTTCTGGTGTGTCTAAAAGTGCAGCCTCATGTTTATAATGCAGCTACATTAAGCATAGGCACACCTACTGCAGGCCCAGCAGTATTGGAGCCATTGTTTCCAACTTAGCAACTTTGTAGCTATATTTAGCAACTTTTCAGACCCCTTTATTGACTAAGCATACTTTTTAAATCTTGGAGATTTTGGTGACAACACAAAATAGCACAGATTGCTCTTAGTTTACTGTCTTTAGCAATGCCTCAGACGCAGCAGCAGCCCATGTCTGCAGTAGAAGAGCAGAGCGACTCCCTTCCGTTTCCCCATTAAACATCAGTATGAGATGAGCAAAGCTTCCATCATCCCCCCAAAGTAAAAATCAGGATGTTCTTTTGATACTGAAACAGTGAAATAGATGCCTTCCTGCATTTACAGCTGCAGCCATTTAGAATGGTCCTTCCCAGTCAAACGCCAGCCGAATGGCATCCCACTTCCCTGTAACTCCCAGTGAAATCCTCTCCAACATCCAGCCACTGAAGTGACCCCATCTTTTATATTTTTTTTTACTCTGGCTTCAACCTTTTACTGAATTAACAGGTTCTGATCGTGAAATGAGACTTCACTTTAGATCTTAATTTTAATACAAAGATCGATGTTTAAAAAGGAAGCTAAGGACCCATCAAGGAAAGTGGGGAAATTTTGAATAGCTACTACTGTAATTCTCGTACAAACAGACAGGGCATTGGGGGCAGTATGCTTCTACGCATAGGCGCGTTTCAGCAGCCCTGGCAGACAGGCCCCTAGCTTCTCAGCACAGAGAAAACTGGTATTTTTGTATTAATTTTGAGACCTAATTTGATATTCTTAGTTGTGTATTTAATTACCGTATTCAAATTCAGATGGGTGATTAATAAAACATATCTCCCGTGTGACAAACTGAGAACACATACACTATATTGCCAAAAGTATTTGCTCACCCATCCAAATTATTGGAATCAGGTGTTCCAATCACTTCCATGGCCACAGGTGTATAAATTCAAGCACCTAGGCATGCAGACTGTTTTTACAAACATTTGTGAAAGAATGGGTCGCTCTCAGGAGCTCAGTGAATTCCAGCGTGGAACTGTGATAGGATGCCACCTGTGCAACAAATCCAGTCGTGAAATTTCCTCGCTCCTAAATATTCCACAGTCAACTGTCAGCTGTATTATAAGAAAATGGAAGTGTTTGGGAACGACAGCAACTCAGCCACGAAGTGGTAGGCCACGTAAACTGACGGAGCGGGGTCAGCGGATGCTGACGCGCATAGTGCGAAGAGGTCGCCAACTTTCTGCAGAGTCAATCACTACAGACCTCCAAACTTCATGTGGCCTTCAGATTAGCTCAAGAACAGTGCGCAGAGAGCTTCATGGAATGGGTTTCCATGGTCGAGCAGCTGCATCCAAGCCATACATCACCAAGTGCAATGCAAAGCGTCGGATGCGGTGGTGTAAAGCACGCCGCCACTGGACTCTAGAGCAGTGGAGACGCGTTCTCTGGAGTGACGAATCGCGCTTCTCCATCTGGCAATCTGATGGACGGGTCTGGGTTTGGCGGTTGCCAGGAGAACGGTACTTGTCTGACTGCATTGTGCCAAGTGTAAAGTTTGGTGGAGGGGGGATTATGGTGTGAGGTTGTTTTTCAGGAGCTGGGCTTGGCCCCTTAGTTTCAGTGAAAGGAACTCTGAATGCTTCAGCATACCAAGACATTTTAGACAATTCCATGCTCCCAACTTTGTGGGAACAGTTTGGAGCTGGCCCCTTCCTCTTCCAACATGACTGTGCACCAGTGCACAAAGCAAGGTCCATAAAGACATGGATGACAGAGTCTGGTGTGGATGAACTTGACTGGCCTGCACAGAGTCCTGACCTCAACCCGATAGAACACCTTTGGGATGAATTAGAGCGGAGACTGAGAGCCAGGCCTTCTCGTCCAACATCAGTGTGCGACCTCACAAATGCGCTTCTGGAAGAATGGTCAAAAATTCCCATAAACACACTCCTAAACCTTGTGGACAGCCTTCCCAGAAGAGTTGAAGCTGTTCTAGCTGCAAAGGGTGGACCGACGTCATATTGAACCCTATGGATTAGGAACGGGATGTCACTTAAGCTCATATGTGAGTCAAGGCAGGTGAGCAAATACTTTTGGCAATATAGTGTATTTATTTATGTTAAATATGGTCTTTAAAAGTAACCAGATTTAAAAAAATTAAATTAAAAACATAAAAATTGATAATTAAAATGCTGAAATGGACTTGTCAGTTGTGGTTTCTGTTCCAGCACATATCATTATTTATCGATCATAAATTTCTATTGCGTTATGTCTTTGTTAAAGGGGTCCCAATGGGGCCTGGGCCCTTTGGCCCCTGCCTAGAACCGCCCATTGGAAAGAGTGCCAAATATTAACAACAAATGTAGGTATTTCACATCAATGCAGCACACTGCTCCTCAGGGGGATGGGTTAATGCAGAGGTACATTTCTGCAATGTGAGATCAATAAAATTGATTAATACTATTATTAACAAGACAGTAAAAACAAAACAGTGTAAAAAAAAAAAGGGTCACTCCTTATTTTGGCATTTAGAAAATATGATTAATTTTGGTACCCCTAGTAGACCTTAAGACAGGAAATGTTTATTCAGATTTCATATCTATCAGTGACAAAAAAAAGCGTATGTCTTTTTATATACTGCATGTAAACTTCTAGTTTTACCTCTGCATACTGTTTCATATTTCATTTAGCCAAGAGCCTGAATATTTAATAGTTTAGAGCTTAGGGCCCCTCACCAGCAGGAGGCCCCAAGAGCAGCAGGGTTTACAGATGGTCAAGAATCACATCAGCATTAGTCATGCAGATCTATATTTATTTCTTTTTCTTTACCATTAATATCTAGTGAACTCTACTTTTTAAACCTCAAGAAAACATTCCAATGCTATTAGATGAAACATATTGTCATTTAATCTATTTACTTATTCAGAAAATTGTGAACACCTGTGATTTATTCTTTCATCAAAGTAAGAGTTTCTCCAAGACATTTAATGCAGCTACAGATCTGTCCATTATTTTTGTGTGTATGGGAAACATGTAGGAACTAGAGAAATAAAAATGTAAATTTGACATGCATTGCACAAAACTAAAAAAAAAAATAGATCCTTTAAGATTTTGCTCTCTCTCAACTTAATATTAGGTTCCACAGCCTTTGGAAAAAAGAAATGAGAGCAATCACTTTCTATAACCACCAATAAGCTTTTTGCACATCTTCGCTGGAGTTTTGGACCATTCTTCTTCTGTAAAGTATTCCAGATGTGTTATGTTATGTAATATCTCCACATATATCTAAATGGATGTGGATACAGTCAGATTACTGGCCATACCAGAACTCAGTGCCCTTTCCATCAATGTGTTGTTGATTTCTGAGTTATGTTCAGGGTCATTATCCTGCTGGACAGTGGCACCCAGTGCCTGAGGCAATAAACTACCCCCAAAACATCTTTGAACCTTCACCATATTTGACTGTATGCTTCTTTTCTTTGTATATCTAATCCATTTTTTGGGTAGAAGGACATGCTTTACCAAAAATAAATATCTTGCCTTCATCTGTCAACAAGACTTTCTCCAGAATTTAGTTTATACACATACATTTTGACAAATTAATTGAAAGATCATTTACACTGAAAATGTGCAGTGAGCCTGCAGGACAGTTTGAATTTTTCTTAGAAGTTGTTTGATGCTAAATATCCACCAATCAGACTATCCTGGGTTGCAACCTTTAATCAATTATGCACCCAGCTATGCTATTTTTGAGCCATGGGTTGTAACTTTCTTATCTATGTTGCACACTGTTGACAATAGGACACTGAGATTTCTAAAAATAGACTTGTGACCTTTAAGCTGTAAATGTTTCACCACAATCTGGTGTAAGTCCTCTCTTCTCCTTCAAAAAGACACAACCATACATTCCAAAGACTGAGCCGATCTTTCTCCTTCTTATCTGATAACGGGCGTGATTTTGACATTGCCCACATCTGTGATCACTTTTGGGATTAGGCGACAAAAATGTGCTTGGAACAAAGTTAGTTCTCCAGAATTCTGAAAGGATGTGTTTTGTAGGGTCCATGTTTTGAGTTTTGTATGAAGTTATTTAAAATGTGCAATTTTGCCTGCTTTTTTATTATGTAAGCTAAGGGAATAAAGAGGTATGTGCCAAAATATGGGAAATTGCAATAACTCTCATGGAAAAAAACAATTAAATAGAACAAATCCAGAGGTGCCAGCATTTTTTTTTTTTGCATAATTGTAAGTTGAACACCATATATCCACATATGCTTTGGGGCCCCTTACTATCTAGGGTGGCCCTTTGGCAGAGAAGTAACATACCAAACAAAATGTGTGAAAATAATATTACATATTACACAATAGATTTAGGGGATTTTTTAGAGAGGGGATAAAAAGTGTTTTTTCAATTAAACTGAACCGAAAAAGAGACCAAACGAGTGAGGGGGAACATCTATGAGTAATAGCGTGAGAACTGATGACTCAAAGCTGCCTCAACTTCGTTTTAAAGTTGGGTTTACACCTCATCTAACACATTCAGATCGAATCACGCACCTTCCACTGCTCATCCCGCCTAGAACTTAGATATCTGTCGTCTGATTGGCTTACAATGAAGCTGAGGCAACAGAGCGAGAACGTGATTGGTTCTCCGGACTGCCAATCATTCCACCGCTGTCTGCGCCGGTCCGACGCGGAACAGGGGACAGAGAGGCCATACTATCGGCAGAAGGCGCTCTCAGGATTGCTGCCACATCTCGGTACACCTTGTACAATAAGCGCGTGGTGACTTTTAACCACTCCGACTTGGATAAATATTAACCAGTTGAAAAAATGGCGCAGCAAGACAGCAAGAAGATATTTTTTGAGAACCTGTCGGGAGCAGGGAAAGCCATCGCTGTGCTCACGAGCGGAGGAGATGCTCAAGGTAACTTGTCGCATTCACGGACACAGTTTTTATAGTTTTTTTGTGCTTTAGTGCAGACATCCCCGTAGAGGGCGAATATACACCCCCTCTAGCCGGTGATGCTGCGTTTTTAGTCGTGAGGAAAGCTACGTGTAGGCAGCAGTGCTTTGCGCAGTGGGCCCTTTAGGGGCTCAGAAATTAAAACATGATGTTGAATCATCCAGGAAGGGGAAACAGTTAGCTGAGACGCTAACATGGCGTGATAACTGAAAATATCCGCATCCTCAAACTCTCCTAGAGAGATGTCAAGGTCGAGCTGTGTGCTGCCTTTTCCTCCTCACGTGATGCAGCAGCGACAGGTCCAGGAAGACGTTCATCTTTTGAGGCTTTCACTTTGAAAGGGAACAGCGGCCGCCTGGTCGGCTGCCACTAGCTCCCAGAAAAGGCTGAGGTTAGATTGAGGAAGATGAGAGCTGTGGTTTTTGGTGGCACAGAGTGGGCCAGCAGCTGGATGCCTCCATCCTGTGTACGTGATGAGCGGCACCCTGTCTGATCTACGTCACAGAGGAAACTCTTGGTCACGTGACCCACAGCCTCATCTCTTATTGATTGAAATGAAAATGCGCCCAACCACGAAGGAGTCCCTATTTGAATTTACAACCATTTATCCTCCTGCTAAGCCTTATTGTTCACGATTAAAGGTGTAAAATAACAGATGAACAGTTTCTATTATTGATTCTCATCTGTTTTATTTTACTTTGTTTTTTGCATCACATTAATACGGGGATTAGGGCCAGTGAAAAAAAAAGTTAACTGATTTTTACATTTTATTTCAGTTTAATATGGGAAAAAAGTCAGATTTCTGCCTTTAATCTCAGAATTCTGACTTTTTTCTCAGAATTCTGACTTTTTTCTCATGTCAAACTGAAATAAAATAAAAAAAATTAGTCAACTTTTTAAAAATTTTTCAGTTGCCCTAATCCTCTTCCGTACATTAAAACATTCATTTCTACTAAATAATTTAATCGAAATATAATTTAATAATAGAAAAAGTGCCATGAAATCCTAAGAGGGATGTGTTTACCAATGTCTGACCTACAAGTTAGTGTTTCATTTCTCTAAGGAGTTGAAACCTGATGCATTTCCATGGTGTTTAATGGAGGCATCAGTTTGAATCCCATAGAAAATTAGAGAACTACAAGATTATCTCCTGTTTGCATCAAGATATGTGTCCTTACCCTGATTTTAATCAACTCCATGGTCGCATTAGTGATTGTAAAGGATTTGAGTTGTTCATTATAAAAAGGAAAAGTAGAATTTTTTTTATAGACGTTTGATCCCCTATAAGAGTAAATCTAGGGAGGACAAGTATATTTCCATTTTTTTCCTTTATGTTATTTGCTCTTTCCTTAAGCATATAATTAAAACAACAATAAAAAAACACTGTGAGGAGACCACAAAGAAAAGTATAGTTGCATATGCATGACAGGAGTGGGAAGGCATTGTTCAGCTGGCTTTGGTCTTTTTACCCACTGTGCCTGAGAAAGCTTCAGTCATGCAGAAGGGGAGGATGGCTGCTTGGATAGGGAATCGAAAACCACCAGAGTGGGAGACGTTTCTCAATAGGTTTTTGTGCACTCTTACGTAAGCAGCTGCTTAATTCCAATGTTTGTAAATGGTCAGCTATTTGACTTGACTGTAAATTAGTTATGTCTTAAAAACCTTCAGAAAAAAAACATTTAAACTATTCAGAAAGTCATATACAGGATTTATCAAACAGATGCTAGTTAAAAACATTGGCAGACCCCTATAGATGCTCAGCTTGTTTTGGCGTCTCTTCTCCCCTGCTGTCCAACACCCTGAACTTTTATGTTGCTAGGCAACAGTGATCCAGCAGCCCACCTGTTTCTGACAAATGCATTTATTTATTTCTGCTCCAGCCACTTTCTTTTGGTCTGTCATGCTGTAAGTAAAGCAGTTTCGGTTGTTGTCATAGCATACCCTTACATTTAGTCGCACATTGGAGTTTCTTCGTTAATGAGGGCACTCTGGAGCGGAGAGAGAGAGAGAGAGTGCAGGACGAGTTGGAAAACTTTGTTCCCATAAAAGGCTTTGGCGCTGTAATAAGAAACAGACAGGCTCAAACAACTATAAATATCAATAGTTTGAGCCGAAGCGCTAACATGTGCTCTGTCTCCTTTTACTGCATTGCTTTACGGGAAAGCTGCTTCGTTGTTCATTATTATTATTATTATGGTTCTTTAAATTCTTTCTCCCCTGCAGGAATGAATGCTGCTGTACGAGCTGTGGTCCGAATGGGGCTGTACGTGGGGGCGAAAGTTTATTTTATTAAAGAGGTGAGTCATCATAATAAAAAAAAGTATCTAGACATAAATACTCTCTCATCTGTTTGTAAATTATTCGTCGATGTTTTCAATCAAATATCAGGCTAAACTATAACTTTGGGGAATGTTGAATTCAAACAGTCACATGTCATCGGCGTGTTTTCCTCAGCGTTCACACACATATCTCATACAGCAGATCTAAGCCGAGCTTTGAGAACTCACGTTCTGCAGCTCATACTGTGATCCCTGTCCATCTGTGTGCTGGACGCTCCGCATGGGCTCACTCTGTGCGCCGTTACATAAGAGACTTAAGGCTTTAGCTGTTGTCCCTTCCACTGCATCCCTCCTGGTCACACTACCAGGAAGGACAAAGTTTGAACATGAAACAGCAGCACTAATTCAGTGAATTCTCCTGCACACCTCTGATGAAATTCTAGGTTTTTATGTAGCAAAGGTATGACACCATAATACCTGATTTAAAAGCTTTTTTTTCATCTTTAATTGGATTATAGATCTTCACTTTTCACAGGAAAAAGAAGCCCACCTGTTAAAGGAAAATTAAACAATTCAGCTTTTAGTGGCCATCTGATTTGTAGCCCTCTACTCTGGGGTGATACATCACCTAAATAATAAACAATTATTTAACTGGTTTGCTTATATACTTGGAAATATACAACCTTTGATCTTCAACTTTTTGGGAGACACTAAGGGTACGTTCACACCGCAGCCTGAAGTGACCCAAATCCGATTTGTTTTGTCCATATGTGACCTGAATCTGATCTTTTCACGACTGTCTGAACAACACGATACGATTTTTTTCCAATGCGACCCAGGCCACTTGGTTATGTGGTCCTGAATCCCATACGAATCTGATCTTTTCAAATGCGACCTGCGGCCAGGTCGCATTCATCCGACCTGAACGCCATTAACACCCGACAGTGGTCACTCTTCTGCTTCTTGCTACGCAGAAGCGGCAAGAAAAACAACAACAATGGTGGACGATGATGCGGAGAGCAGTATTTATGTTTAACATCTTGGAAAGATGGAGTTTTTAAAGTTGGGTAAGATCGCTAGATGTTCTCCAGCACTACCTTCCATGTTTACTTCCGTAAACATAGAGCACGCTTGCTTATGACGTTATTGCGTCCTCTACTGCGCATGTGGGAAACTTTAGCTGTATGAATGCAGTTTACTAAGGAGATCACATACAAGTCACATATATTTGAAAATGTGAACGGCAACAGAAAAAAAAAATCGGATTTCACAAAAAAAAATCAGAATTGAGCATCAAGGTCTGCAGTGTGAATGTAGCCTAAAAGGCTTAGGTCAAACGGCCTGATTATTGCAATTGTTCTCATTTTCATCCACCTTCACATAAACAAGCTTGTGCCAAGCAGAAAGTCTCCTCCAAGGTTCTCTGGGATTAGATGTTTCTTAATGAAAAATACTTATAAAAATACTTCTAACTAGGGCCAGGTGATTCTGGCCTAAAAAGAAATCCTCGCTTTTTAAAAATGTTTTTATTTGCATTACAAAATCTTTTCCGACTTTCCGTACTAACATCCAACTGATCACTGGAGCTCTGTTGTGCATATTTACATTATACACAGCAGTACGCTTAAAAATAACACCTTGTTATACATCCTTAGAAAACTTAGATTCTCCACAATTTAACCACCAAGTTCATTTTATGGATGAGCGCCCATTAAAAAAAAGATATAGCAGTATATTAAATCAGAATTTTTAATTTAAAGTTTCGACTTCCTACTGTTGAGGCCGTATTATAAATCCCTGGACGGGGCTGCCTTTTACAGCTGCTTTTTGTATCTCTGCTTCTGTCTCCTTGAACCCCAGTCGGCCTCGGCAGATGGCCGCTCACACTGAGCCTGGTTCTGCTGGAGGTTTCTTCCTTTTAAAAGGGAGTTTTTCCTCTCCACTGTCGCTACAAGCATGCTTAGTGTGAGGGATTGTATTTGAGTCAATGAGTCGATGCAATCAACTGGTTTTCATTATATAGAAAACTTTGTATCAATTTGATTGTATGATCTTGTTAAACTATAAAGTGCCTTGAGATGACATGTGTTGTGAATTTGGCGCTATATAAATAAACGGAATTGAATCTTAGGTTGTTTATATTACATTTGTTCTTATGAGTCCGAAGTAATCCAGCATATTCATTATAGAAACATTCCATGATGAGAAGGGCACAAAAATTCAAATTTTTTACCATCAGAAAAGTCCCATGTTTGTACCTAATGCTAACCGTCTTGCCAATCACCCTAGCTTCCACAAACCTTTCCGGTTGATGTTTGGTCCAAGGTCAAGTCTTCTTGACGGTACATATGGGCACCATGTTTTTAGCTATGTGCAAAGCGAGCTCTTCTGTGATGGTTTTTAACCGTGGTCCTTTCCTCTCATATGCGGTGCTTTGCGCTAAAGTTTGGGCTATGGTTGGCTGTTTGTTGTTTATTTTTTGCTGAGAGGCTGGCGTTTTACATATTTCCACTGGATGCTTCTGTTTAAGATTCTGAAAAAGGTTGTCTGCTGCCCTTAACTGCGACTGCCTTTTGGGAAATGTTGCAGCGTGGGATCTTTAGCTCCATGTTTGTTGCAGCAAACGTAAACCAGTTCCAAAGAACAAATTATTTTATTCCTTTTTTCTCCCACTTCTTCCCACTCTCCCTGGTAGCCATGAACTGCATCCTGGGAGTAATACTTCAGTTACGGAAGCTCCGGGGGACCAAAATTGTGCCGTTATACAAAAAAAGTTATTTTTTCTTTAATCGCCCTCTAAAAAAAATTTAAATGAATTAATTGAATCGACTTTTTGCCAAGCCCTGCTTCTAACTTACCCAAATATAGACATTTACCTCCTTATAGAACACAATTATTACTCGACCAAAGTTCCCGAATCTCCTTCAGTGTCTTTACTTGTTTGCTGACATCTACCCAAACTGGTTTGTTTTATTTTTTTTTTTCATCATACTTTTTGGAGATGTCATATTTTCTCCTCTTTCAATGGCCGTATTCACCACTATTCTATCTATTCTTTCTAGATATATTCATCTGGAAAATCCTAGAGGGACACATTTGCTTTATGTCAGGTTTAACAAGTCCTCTTTCTTCATGAAAGTTTCCGTTTAATGCTGCAGGCTGTCCAAACAGGTTGTTGCAGATATTTTACATTTCACGCTAACCAGATTTGTTTGACTTTTTCTTTGATGTAATGTTTTCCACACGACAAAAAATGCTCTTTTTATAGGTGTTTGTACACCTTTAAGACCTTATGTTGGTTACTTTGTATATGGGATAAATCCTGTTTTCACTGTAAGGGTGGTCATCTTTTCTTTTGTCTTGTTTTTTTTATCCTCAGGGATATCAGGGTATGGTGGATGGAGGAGACAACATAAGAGAGGCAACGTGGGAAAGTGTCTCCAGCATGCTACAAGTGGTAACTATCACCAGAAGCATTTACACTGATTCTAACCAGGTGCTCCATCACCTGTGGAAAACTGTATATTCGGATTGAAACAAACTTCATCTGAACTGATGTATTTATATATATATAAGAGGCAGGAGACAGAATTTCTCTTAGCAAGTTGATTTATCCCTGAGGCTCTTTCCCTGACTTTTGCCCTGCTGTCATCAGGGTGGTACTGTCATCGGCAGCGCCCGCTGCAAAGACTTTCGAAGCCACGAGGGCCGTCTGAAGGCGGCTCACAACCTGGTGCAGCGCGGCATCACCAACCTGTGCGTAATCGGAGGAGACGGCAGTCTGACGGGAGCCAACCTCTTCAGGGAGGAGTGGAGCGGTCTGCTCACAGAGCTGGTGGAGCAAGGTAGTGGAAACGCGGGCAGGACATTTCCACTTTAGAAAGAAATGCTGGACTGTACAAGGAAAAAATTAATTCAGAATGTTTATGCTTCAAAATATTGTATTAACTCCACGCAGGAGGTTATGTTTTAAGGACTAAACACACGGACAGACGTCGATGATTTTAAACGTTATGGAAGGATTTTAATTAAGCATTTATCAGAGGTGTCCTTCCTGCAAAGGCACAATCCTTAAAATTTTGGTGATGATCTGGATACAGGATTTAGTAAGAGATTTAAAAGGTTGGGATAGTTGGTGGAACAAGCAGCTCCGCTACTAAACCAGAGGGCCTCAGCATCAGACTCAAAAGGTCTGGAGGTATTTTACTGAAGACGAAAAAACATAAGAAAAGGGAACGTTGTTGGTTTGTTAGCAGCAGACTTTTAGCTTAACACTTGGTTGATGTGACGCATCGAGCAGCAAAAGTTACAATTTTCCAACTCCAGTATCTGCTGCCTGTGAAATTTTGAGCATTTGAGCAAAGTTTCAGGGGAAAAAACGGCGGAGTACAATTTGTCATTTTTTTAAGGTCATACAATGTACGGCTGCACACATTGCAACTTAAAAGCCTGGTTAGCAGCATCAATTGAAAACTTATGAACAGATTTTATGGACATTTTTTTACCAGAGGTGCATCATTAAAAGGAACAATTCTTTTGAAATATGGTAATGATCCAGATCATGTGTGAGTTTTAGCTATAGTCATTTCAGGCTGCTCTGCAGAGGTCTGTGCTGTCTTGAGTATTTGTCTAGTTTTTGGTGAGATTTTGTTGGGCTACAGCAACAGCAAATAGTGCTTAATTGAAAAGGATATGGTTTTTGAATATTTATTCTAGGGATGCACGATATAATCGGCCCCCTATCGGTATCGGCCTGTATCGGCCTGAAACTGAATATCGGACATCGGCCACCCCACCGATATTTAACCCGATATTTGATCAGCTTCTGAGTTTCTAAAGTCTAAAAAAATAAAAATAAAAATACTACTTCTTCTTCTTCAAAAACTTCTTTTTTACAGACTTAAAAACTTCTAAAGACGAGGGAAAAATATTGAAAGATTAAAATATCACAATATCTGCAATATATATTGCAATATATATATGCTGATATATTGCCATTTAAAAACACCATATCAATCTCTTTTACTAAATCCCCCCGAAAATTCACGAAATTTTGCCATATTTTTATATGTTGATATATTGACGCAGTATCGATCTATTTTACTAACAAAATCTCACAAGAATTTGCAAAATATCACGAGAGTTTGTAACAGAACAATGATATTTCACGAGATTTTGAAAGTAAAATAGATCGATACCGCGTTTTTAAAAATCAATTTGATATGAGCATATGAAAATATATTTGAGTATATTATTTTTCAAAGTGTCAGAAATGGATAACAGAACTGCTATTTTCAATGACTACTTATTTTTGTCCAGCTTTAACATCGGTATCGGTTGTCAGCTACATGAGTTTTAAAATATCGGCATATCGGATATCGGCCAAAATCGTGCATCCCTAATTTATTTGCATTATAACAAATCTCTGAAAAGTCGGCTTGCATTTTAATTTCAGTGTCTTCACTCTAATTCCCTTAATTTAGGATCTTACTGAACCATCTCCCTTCAGAGGTCACCTAAACAGAGTCCATCTTTCTCTATTTACATTTTTGTATCAATCTGTTCTGTGAGACTGCAATAGGTTGATTAGAGAACATTAGCAAACACAAAGGATCATGAAAACAAAGAAACAAAGACAGAACAAGGATTTAGTTGTGAAAAACTGTTAAGCAGAGTTTGGGTGTCAAAGCGATCTAAGCTTTGAACGTCGATTTGGTCACTATGTAGAGACGCACGGCTCAGGTGGGAGCTTCTATCATTCAGTTACCCATTAGTCATCCATCAGTCCATCGTCTTCTGCTTATCTGACAAGTAGCAGAGCAACCTGGGCATCCCTCTCCATGGCAACACTCCCTAGCTCTGTCTAAAAATCGAATAAGAAAGCTGTTGAAAAAAATTAATAAAAAAGCCAGAGGAAGCTTGATAAGCCACGGGTCCCATTTTCTAGAGCAGACACAAGGAAGAAGCTTCTTTAGTTAGTTGAGACTAAAATCTAATTCTCTGTGTGATGAAAAAACTACCCACATCCCTGAACACAGCGTCGCTTTGGTTGTTTTGCCACAATGGTGGCAGCATCATGGTATAGGGAAGCTTTCCTTCTGCATGGTAGGGTTGTCAAAAGTATCGATACTCAAAAAAGTATCGATACTGAAATGTTGTATCCGGATACAATACTCATTTTCAAAAGTATCGAGTACCAGTCGCACCTAAACAGTCATTCATCTAAACTGCAGAATAGAGGAAAATGCACTTTCTGAACACCGTGATTGAATAATTCTGTGCACTTTTCAGTTTCAGACTTTTTTTGTAACAGTTGCAGCTGCTGAAAATTATTTTTGTTTCTTAACCGGTTTGGCTAGTGTCATTGTTATGTGTGCAAAGCATAGCCAAGTAAGGAAAACTTAATTTTAATTTTGTAAGTTTTTTTATCAAGCTTGCTAAATACTGTGCACAGCAAACAACCTCAAAATGTTGTTCTTATTGTTTATTGTATTTATTTATTGTATTTTAATTATTAATCAAAATATTTCTGTTGAAATTTTATCCTTGTGGTATCGAAAATGGTATCGAGTATCGAATATTTTCCTTAGTATCGGTATCGAGTTGAAAAGTTTAGTATCGTGACAACCCTACTGCATGGTCAGCATATCCGGCCCTGTGGAATGAAGGAAAGGTGACTCATGAAAATACACAATTATTTGATCCTACAGGTGCTGGTCATAAAATTAGAATATCATGAAAAAGTAGATTGATTTCAGTAATTCCATTTAAAAAGTGAAACTTGTATATTATATTCATACATTACATACAAACTCATATATTTCAGATGTTTATTTTGTTTAATTTTGATGATTACAAATGACAACAAATGAAAATCTCAAATTCATCATATCAGAAAATTAGAATATTACTGAAGACCAATAAAAACAAAGGATTTATAGAAATGTTGGCCAACTGAAAAGTATGAACATGAAAAGTATGAGCATGTACAGCACTCAGTATTTAGTTGGGCCTCCTTTGGCCTGTATTACTGCAGCAATGCGGCGTGGCATGGAGTCGATCAGTCTGTGGCACTGCTCAGGTGTTATGATAGCCCAGGTTGCTCTAATAGTGGCTTTTAGCTCTTCTGAATTGTTTGGTCTGGTGTATTGCATCTTCTTCTTCACAATACCCCATAGATTTTCTATGGGGTTAAGGTCAGGAGAGTTTGCTGGCCAATTAAGAACAGGGATACCATGGTCCTTCAACCAGGTACTGGTAGCTTTGGCACTGTGTGCAGGTGCCAAGTCCTGTTGGAAAATGAAATCTGCATCTCCAAAAAGTTGGTCAGCTGCAGGAAGCATGAAGTGCTCTAAAACTTCCTGGTATGTGGCTGCGTTGACCCTGGACCTCAGAAAACACAATGGACCAACACCAGCAGATGACATGGCACCCCAAACCATCACTGACTGTGGAAACTTTACACTGGACTTCAAACAACGTGGATGAAGTGCCTCTCTTCTTTTCCTCCAGACTCTGGGACCTTGATTTCCAAAGGAAATGCAAAATTTACTTTCATCAGAGAACATGACTTTGGACCACTCACCAGCAGTCCAGTCCTGTTTCTCTTTAGCCCAGGCAAGACGCTTCTGACGCTGTCTGTGGTTCAAGAGTGGCTTGACACAAGGAATGCGACAGCAGAAACCCATGTCTTTCATACGTCTGTGTGTGGTGGTTCTTGAAGCACTCACTCCAGCTGCAGTCCACTCTTTGTGAATCTCCCCTACATTTTTGAATGGGTTTTGTTTCACAATCCTCTCCAGGGCGCGGTTATCTCTCTTGCTTGTACACTTTTTTCGACCACATCTTTTCCTTCCCTTCGCCTCTCTATTAATGTGCTTGGACACTGAGCTCTGTGAACAGCCAGCCTCTTTAGCGATGACCTTTTGTGTCTTGCCCTCCTTGTGCAAGGTGTCAATGGTCGTCTTTTGGACAACTGTCAAGTCAGCAGTCTTCCCCATGATTGTGTAGCCTATAGAACTAGACTGAAAGACCATTTAAAGGCTTTTGCAGGTGGTTTGAGTTAATTAGCTGATTAGAGTGTGGCACCAGGGGCCATCAATTTTGAACCTTTTCACAATATTCTAATTTTCTGATATGATGAATTTGAGGTTTTCATTTGTTGTCATTTGTAATCATCAAAATTAAACAAAATAAACATCTGAAATATATGACTTTGTATGTAATGTATGAATATAATATACAAGTTTCACTTTTTAAATGGAATTACTGAAATCAATCTACTTTTTCATGATATTCTAATTTTATGACCAGCACCTGTATATTCAGATACATGTTGAGCGAGCTAATATTGTTTCGAATGTTAATAAATGGTACAGTTAGTTATTTAACAGTACATTTATCTATTCAATAGTGTGTTTATTATAATAGATTTATACATGTTTGTCCCTTTTTGCCCTCCTGAAATCTTAGGGGTCAGACCTTAATGATTCTGCAATTTCTTACCCCCCGATAACCGATCCAAGCATCACACGACAACCATCACCAAGACTTCTATAATTATACTGGCTTTGGTTATTATCACAGACTCGACAGTGACTGTTGCTGCGTAACGTCCACACTTGCATCCTAAACTGCCAGATTTGGAAACATCCCAACCTGGCAACAATGTGTAGCCCTCAATGGGAAACCTCCACCCCTGTTTTTTCAATGAAATCCATTTCAGACACTTCTGATGCAAGTTTAGTCAAAAAACAAAAAACAATCTCAGTAATTCACAATGAATATTCACACATCAGACTCCTGGCTAGCTCGCCAAATGTAACGCTTGTTAAAGGCTAATGACAAGGAACTGACTATATAGATGTAGAAAGATGTTACCAGAAGAGGGTTCGTAGAGGAGCCCGAGGTGTGAATAATCACAGAGACAAAAATAAGGTTTAACTAGTTTTGTATTAAAGTGGCCAAGACACACACAAAAAAAAAAAAACAACAAACACACAAACATTAATAACAAAACAGTTTTTGATTAATTGTCCCCAAGGTTCAGTTAGGTTAGATTGTTAGTCCATACGCTATGGTAATCCAGGGTTGAGAAGAGAATAGTTTTTATCCTTATAGGAAAGAAGAGTCTGTATCCTACCGCACAGGTAGAGGTCTTAGCTCGCCATCTTCAGTTGAATTAGAAAAAGAAAAAGTTGTTGTGAACCAGATTGTAGTGAGGGTGATGTCCTTTTTCTGGCATAAAAAAAAAACCTGACCTAGAATGGTCAAAAAAAAACAAATGAGCAGTTGTTCTTAACCAATGAGGTCTGCATGTTTAAAATATGTGTGCATTAAATTTTGGAACACATTTATACATGCAGATAGTTTTCCATATTTACACATTTTACCAATATATATACAAACATATATATATATAGCTATAACAAATAACTATATAAATAAATAAATAAATCATTTAACAGATTATCACAAAAGTTTTAGATACTCAAAAACACATTGTAATCAAGTGCACTTTTTCCCATAAATCATGAATATTCAATGTATAAAAAAAAAAACGTGGCCCGTCAAATTAAAAGGACTTAGGAGCTGAGGGCTACAAATGCACGTACGACGGGAAACATTAGCCTTTAGATGCAAAACCCCATCAAGCACCGCAACATATTTTTGCAAAATATTCTAACATAACATTTAGTTTTATTCCAATTTAGTTTGTTGCAAGGATTTTACAGTTTGAAGAATAGGATTTTACACCACATGCCAACCGTCACCAGGATGTGCATGACAAGGAAGGGCTATATATACTGCATGCATCATTTAGATAGTTAACATTGTATTACTTCTTGAGCTCCTTGAGTTAATACTGTCACAGGTAAGGGCTTCGGCCGGAGAGTAAGTGTTGGGGCCGGTATGATTTAAGGAGGGTCCACCGGTCAAATGCCCACTACCACAGATTACCAGTCTGAGCCTGGCCAGGTCTAATCTAGATTCATAGTTTTACCTTAAAATCTGAGATCCGAATCTATAAATTTAATGTTTGCAGCTAGTCTGACATTACTAACATTTAGTTTGTTATGAAACATGATTGTTTCACAGCTTGAATGTCGTTGTTATTTAGATTAGTGGAAACGAAACCGTCAACCAAACTAACTTAATTTACAAGATTCAATAAGCAATGTGATCTAGATGCTCAGGTGTCCTTTAAGCTTGGTCTTCCATCATATTTTTTTTTTTTTTTTAACATTATTGATAATTATAAGACACAATCTCATAAATAAAAGTTAGTTTGGTTGACCAATAATTTTTAACCCCCCAGAAGGGTTGATTGAAAGCAAAGCCAGTTTTTGAAAGCAGTAAATGTTGTTTGTCATTTTTATAATGAAATTTAATGGAGAAAAACATCATCAGATATGGTAGGAAAAACTCAGAGATTATATTTTCAAGCCTTATTGCCCAGTCCTAGGTCCAACCTTCTGTGGGAACAACATGTGCTCATTAGTTCATAAGATTCCCCATGTCTCCTCAGGACTGATCGAAGCCGACGCCGTGCAGAAGTACTCGGCCCTGCACATCGTTGGAATGGTCGGCTCCATCGATAATGACTTCTGTGGGACGGACATGACCATCGGCACCGACTCTGCTCTGCACAGAATCATCGAGGTGGTAGATGCCATCATGACGACTGCACAGAGGTGAGCGAGAAGAAGGTTATAGTCTCTTTAGCAACGAGAACCCAACCTGCGGTTATATGACTTTTGCTTTACTTCCTTCTAGCCATCAAAGGACCTTTGTGTTGGAGGTCATGGGCAGACACTGTGGGTAAGAGAAAGTTTGCAGATTGTCCAAAAAAAACCCCATCAGATTCTGGCTTCTTCTCTGTTTACATGATGCTGACATGTCTGTGTGTAACATCGCAGTTACCTGGCCTTGGTGAGCGCTCTGGCTTGTGGTGCCGACTGGGTGTTGATCCCTGAAATGCCTCCAGAGGATGGCTGGGAAGACAAGATGTGTCAGAAACTATCAGCGGTAACTCCGTCGCATTTCCACAACAGTCAATAGAAGCCCATGATAACAGGGTTCTAAGCAGCTATTTATGTTTTACCTGCAAGAAATAAATGAATAGATACGACTGTTTTTCCAGTCTTCTAAAGCCTCATAGTGTTTATCCTGCTTTGAAAACATTGCCAATGTTTTATGATTTAGACCCGTTCCAGGGGCACAAGGCTGAACATAATCATAGTGGCAGAGGGAGCCATTGACAGGCATGGGAAACCTATAACTTCTGGTTTTGTCAAGGATGTGAGTACATGAGTGTGGAAGAAGAAGAAGAAGGAGGGGAAGCCAGAAGCACGGAGACCCGTCCGATGCAGCCTCATGAGCCTTTGATGCTGTTTCCTAACAGTTTGTTAATCTCATGATGAAGACGTGTTGACAAGCGATAGAAGCAGGATTTTATTTTTTAATGAGCTGGAGCCGCGGTGACAGCTCTGCTTTTATCACGAAGGGAGCTGTTCTTTCTCTCTCTGTCTGTCCCTCTCTCCACTCATGGCTCCCGTGCTTCTGAAAGCCCACGTCACAGCCACACTCAGTTTTTCTGTCATGTTGTTTCTCCACCACGCCCTCCTTTTGTAGAACCGCGCAGGGATGAAAAGGCTGAATATCATAATTGTCGCCGAAGGGGCGATTGATCGTAACAACAAACCCATTACAACTGACTATATTAAGGATGTAAGTACAGAGCCCTGTGCAGTGAGCCTCCAGCCTCCTGTATGACTCTGCCCCTGCCCCGATGTGGCTTTTGACTGTTGCTGTGTTTCTTGACTGCTCTATCAGGCCCACTTGCTAGTTTGGTAAGAAAGCTTTCACGGCACTGAACTCTAACGGCAAAACGGGCACTCTCATCAAACCAGACACACATTTTCCAAAGCAACGGCCACTTGTTTATTAGAGATGCACCGACCGGTTTTCTGTAAAGCTTTGACCCTCCCTCTCATTTTTTAGCTCATTACAGTTTCTTTTTTAAGTCAAACATGATTTCAAACTGTTTTTAGCCTCCCTGTCGTCAAACCATGTAGCTTTAGCATCTGATGTTAGAATATGATGTGATTAGTGTGGCTAGCATTACAAAAATACTTCCTTATTGTGAGATTTCCAAAAGCTTTCCAAAGCTAGCCTGTTGTAGGAAAGATTGAATAACATAAATAGATGAAAAGAACTATCATGCAGTTCACTGAGTAGCCTTCCTGTTATCAGATGGACATTCTGCTCTCTCTCTCACACACAGACAGATTGATCTTCATTTAAATATCTACCTACTAGGCCTAGGCAAAAAATCGATTCAATTAATTATTTTGAAAAAAATATATATATATTAAAGCATCTGGCAAAACAGTGAACGACATCATAACTACAGGTGAGTGAGAAGTTTGGAAAAAATTGGAAAAAACATCGTAAATTGAATTAAATATCGAATAAAATAATCTTAGATTTTATTTTTAGGTCGTATCGCCCAGCCCTTCTACCTCCATGTTTATTCCCTTCGTTTTAAACACCCCATTGATACTCAAGATAGCCATCTTAGAGTATTCTCCAATATAATGACTTTCACTTAGTTGAGTATTGTTAGCATGACCGTTAGCATTTAGCATGCTGCCTTCACTGACTGGAAGAAAATATGATAACCATGTTTCCTTCCAACCATTTTTTTCGGTGCATCTCTATTATCCATACCTGCTTTTACATAGTTTTTTGTGTTTGAAACACACTTTTTCATCAGTGCACTTTCAACTAACTGGTTTAAGGTCTAAAGTCTTCGGGTTTTTTATGTTTTAGTAGTAGTTGGGTTTTTCATATTTATACTGGTTGACATCCTGCCTGGGTTCCTCTATGGGCTACAAGCTATTTGCTAACATGACTGAAAAATTAGAATGGCTTGCTTGTGCTTTGCAGTTTCCCCTTCTCTTCAGCTTTTATATTGTGCTTGTGTTTTAGTGTGATATACCCACTTTATGTATTTTGTACATATCAAAGTAATCTGGATACATGTCCAGCAACAAAAGATGACAATACTCGCTGCTTAATCCTTTCTGTTTTATCATCGAAGCTTGTTGTGAAAAACTTGGGCTTCGACACACGCGTCACCATCTTGGGGCATGTGCAGAGAGGAGGAACGCCGTCTGCTTTTGACCGCATCTTGGTAGGTAGTCGGGTTGTTCTCAACCCACAGGTCATCATGTCCGGTCGGATGAATACAGATAATTAAACGGGGCTTATAGTTTTCGTTTGCAGTTGTTCAAAAATAAATATCCCAGACATGAAGTGAAAAATGTCCATTCTCCTTATATTGTAGTTAATCATGTTTTTGTTTATTCAAAGGTGGAAAAAAAGGTTTTAAAATCAGCATCTAACTTTTCCCTGGTTTTAAGACTCTTTTAGGCTTTTTGTTTTTGTAGTCTATAAATACAACATGTTATAGCTCCACACATGACCAGTTTATTGCATAAATGATGAATTTATGGTTCACATCATCACACACTTCAATGCACTGCAAAAAAAGTAAATCTAAGTAGGTTAACTTTCTTTTTATTAGTGTGTCTTCCATTTTCTTTAGAATAAGAACAACAACAACCTGATCATCTTAGTTCAAGTGGGAAATATTTAATTACCTTATTTTAAGTGCAAAAATGCTCATTTGATCATCTGCCAATTTGCAGTTAACCCTATAATGCCAAATGTATCATATTTGATGCATACGGTTTCTAAAATGTTTTGCGTCTGACACCTTTTGCATAATTTAATGTTAAAAACGTTGCTCAAAATCCTATTGTACACAATCAGATATACCTGATAACAGCCAGTAGAAGACTACACAAAAAATAATCTTGACTTATCGCATAGTAATAAGTTATTAATATCAAAAATGTATTTCGGTTTTTTCTTTTTACATATTTTGTTAAAAGGCCAAATAAGGACTTCAAACCAAAAAAAAGTAATTTTCTGTTTTGTTTTATTCTTGGATCGGGCTTTAAACTTAATTTTATACATTTTTACTTAATTATAGACTTGTTTCTGCAAAGTACACAACTCTGTATTGCAAAAACTGTCCATCTAACCAAGACTTGCAATCTTACATCCAGAGATGCACTGATCCATTAACCTGGATCAGATCTCCACTCCAATATTGACTATTTAGCTGGATCGGATATCAGTGATTTTTATATTCACTATTAGAGATCCAATCCAGGGCACCATACATGGAACTATTATACCTTTCTTTTTGCTGCGTATTTGTTAATAAACTAAATTACATTTATATCTGTGTTCCTTTTTTTTTAACAATCTTTATGTTAAATATAAAGACCTCACCTACATGGCAAGATACACTATATTGCCAAAAGTATTTGCTCACCTGCCTTGACTCACATATGAGCTTAAGTGACATCCCGTTCCTAATCCATAGGGTTCAATATGACGTCGGTCCACCCTTTGCAGCTAGAACAGCTTCAACTCTTCTGGGAAGGCTGTCCACAAGGTTTAGGAGTGTGTTTATGGGAATTTTTGACCATTCTTCCAGAAGCGCATTTGTGAGGTCGCACACTGATGTTGGACGAGAAGGCCTGGCTCTCAGTCTCCACTCTAATTCATCCCAAAGGTGTTCTATCGGGTTGAGGTCAGGACTCTGTGCAGGCCAGTCAAGTTCATCCACACCAGACTCTGTCATCCATGTCTTTATGGACCTTGCTTTGTGCACTGGTGCACAGTCATGTTGGAAGAGGAAGGGGCCAGCTCCAAACTGTTCCCACAAAGTTGGGAGCATGGAATTGTCCAAAATGTCTTGGTATGCTGAAGCATTCAGAGTTCCTTTCACTGGAACTAAGGGGCCAAGCCCAGCTCCTGAAAAACAACCCCACACCATAATCCCCCCTCCACCAAACTTTACACTTGGCACAATGCAGTCAGACAAGTACCGTTCTCCTGGCAACCGCCAAACCCAGACCCGTCCATCAGATTGCCAGATGGAGAAGCGCGATTCGTCACTCCAGAGAACGCGTCTCCACTGCTCTAGAGTCCAGTGGCGGCGTGCTTTACACCACCGCATCCGACGCTTTGCATTGCACTTGGTGATGTATGGCTTGGATGCAGCTGCTCGACCATGGAAACCCATTCCATGAAGCTCTCTGCGCACTGTTCTTGAGCTAATCTGAAGGCCACATGAAGTTTGGAGGTCTGTAGTGATTGACTCTGCAGAAAGTTGGCGACCTCTTCGCACTATGCGCGTCAGCATCCGCTGACCCCGCTCCGTCAGTTTACGTGGCCTACCTCTTCGTGGCTGAGTTGCTGTCGTTCCCAAACACTTCCATTTTCTTATAATACAGCTGACAGTTGACTGTGGAATATTTAGGAGCGAGGAAATTTCACGACTGGATTTGTTGCACAGGTGGCATCCTATCACAGTTCCACGCTGGAATTCACTGAGCTCCTGAGAGCGACCCATTCTTTCACAAATGTTTGTAAAAACAGTCTGCATGCCTAGGTGCTTGAATTTATACACCTGTGGCCATGGAAGTGATTGGAACACCTGATTCCAATAATTTGGATGAGTGAGCAAATACTTTTGGCAATATAGTGTATATGGTTCATTAATTCAACAGTTGAATCAGATTGATTTCTGCCGAGGTATTGATATCAGGTTGGATCGGAAAAAAATGTAACGTTGCATTTCTACTTGTACGTAGCCAAAGAGGTCCTTTTGATCTATTTTTGATATTGATACACTAAGCACACTTCAAAAACAAATCTAATAATAAGTAAAAAAGGGAAATAAGTGCATTTTAGCAAAAAGGGTAAGTTAGATAACATTTTTTTCTCTCATTTTAAAAGTTCTATTAGTAAATTGTCTTACCTGCTCAAACCATGGCAAAATGTACTTTTTTCAGAAAAAATTGACTGACTTGGGTTTCAGTTCCGCAGTGCAAGAGCTGATTCTTTTAGATTAATGATCTTCTACTCAACATAAATTCCGTAATCTGTGGAGTGGAGTAAAGTAGAAGCACATGGAAGAATTTCTTTAAATCGTGTATATATTGTCAATACAAGAAGTCTTACCATGTGCGATCTTGTCCAAAGAAAATCAGAACAGAATCTGCTCTTGCTTAATATATCAATCTATAAACAAGACTGAGAGAACTTTTTGGTTAGATCTAAGGCTGCGTTCACACTGCAGACCTTGATGCTCAATTACAAATTTTTTTTTCCTCGTCGTTCACTTTTCCAAATATATACGACTTGTATGTAATCTCCTGTGTGAACTGCAGTCATACAACACCAGTGTCCTGCATGTTCAGTAGAGGACGCAATGACGTCACAGGCCAGCGTGCTCTGTGTTCACAGAAGTAAACATGGATGGTAATGCAGGAGCGCATCTAGCGATCTTTTCCAACCACAAAAACACAATCTTTTCAAGATGGTTAAACATAAATACTGCTCTTCGCATCATCGTCCTCCATTGTTGTTGTTTTTCTTGCCTCTTCTTCATAGCAAAACCCAGAATAGTGACCTTTGTTTGGTATTATTAGCATTTAGTTCGGATGAAAATGCTGTTCAGATAAAGGTTGCATTTGAAAAGATCAGATTCAGAACCACATAGCCAAGTGGCCTGGGTCGCATTGGAAAAATTGGATCTGTGTTATTCAGAGAGCCATGAAAAGATCAGATACAGGTGACATATGGGCCAAAAAATCGGATTTAAGTCGCTTCAGGCTGCAGTTTGAACGTAGCCTTACATTAATGATCTTTGGAGATTATTCGACATAAATGCAGTAATCTGTGGAGTGGAGTAAAGCAGTAGTACATGGTAAAATTTCTTAAAAATCATGATAAATATTCTCAAAAAAAGGTGTTACAATGTGCGATCTCGTGCGAAGAAAATCAGAACAGAATCTGCTCTTGCTTAGTATATCAATCAATCAAACAAGATTGAGAGAACTTTTTGGTTACTTTTTTAGATGGTCACTTATTTATGCCAAGTCTAGGGCTGCAGCCATTAGATATTTTAATAATAAATTAATCTGGTGATTTTTATTTTTTTTTATTTTTTTTTATTTATCTTAATTAAGTAGTGTTTAGTTAATTTAAATATCTCTGTAAAGTGTTTGAGGTCAAAATAAACTAAGTATTCTTTGTCCATTTAAAATGGATTATAAAGTGGTAAAAGGGGTAGAAAAATGGATACAAATACTTTTGAAAAAGTATACAAGGTTTCTAAATCCCCAATTTAGATTTTTTTAAATCAATATTTAATATTTTTTTGTTACTAATTAAAAGGAATATTGTAAACCTTTGGAGCTGTGATAGTAATGGTCAAGAGTTGGTGTGTTTTTCAGATGAAATGGTGTTGGGGTTTAAGTTAAGCACTTTATGAGATTTAAGGCTGAGCACATGACTTGTGCAGACATGTCACCACGTCCTTACTACAAGCCTGCTAAAAATAAGCCAAGAAGTGAAAATGAATGAGAAAAGACGGAGCAGGGCAGAATTTCAATGCTGTTGTAGATATGTGCATGCAAATAGGGTGCTAATGATGCTCTGCTGTCTTTTCCTGTGTTCCTGGCTGTGTGTGTCGTCTTGTGAAGGCCAGCCGTATGGGTGTGGAGGCCGTCCTCGCCCTCCTGGAGACCACTGCCAACACGCCGGCCTGTGTCGTCTCTCTGTGCGGGAACCAGTCGGTGCGCGTGCCTCTGATGGAGTGTGTGCAGACGGTAAGTGTGTAATTTAAATGGATTCAGTCCAAGGGATCAAACCCATTAAGTACACATGCAGATGCTTCACCAAACATACAGAAGCTGAGAGAAAGATGGATCCGATAATGGAGAGATGATGAACAATCAGTCAGGGTTTGAATGGCTGTGATGTTGAATAAACAGCCATGTTTGAGAGGCTGTGGATTCTGGGGAATGATCATCGAATGACTGCCAGCACGATGATGTAAGTTAATCATCACAGAAACACAAAGCTGCTTTGTTTTTCTGTTGGCCTGTCATGCTTGAAACTTGGCAGAAGTCACTGGGAAGATTTCTTACAGCTATCTGAATGTTTCAGTGTCGTTACAAAACAGAGTAGACTATCTGTTATTTTCATATGTCAGGGATTCAGAAGTTAGAGTTAAATTACTAATGTCTTTGTTCTAACTTTTCTTTTTAATTGTGTTTTAGTTCATAGCGTCTCTTGTTTAAAATCGAAAGAAAAAAGGTAGAAAATGCAGCTAAAATATGAATAAGATTGATTGCATCCTATTCAGACTTAGCAGAGTAATGACTTGTAACCATTACCTGGGAGTTTTAAAGGCCCCCTCAATATGCGGACACATTTTCACTAGAGTAAATAACCTGGTCCATGTGTTTCTAATAATAGGTCCTGGTCAGATTTCCTAGGATTAATAGGGGCCGACTTTCCCTATTAATCATTGATGATCAGTGGACCCTTTCCTAACCTCTCCTCACCGGACATATTTAAATCCTGAGTGTTATTGATTTATACGTTAGATGTGATTTATGTTTAAGTGAACTCTGAGGACAAACTGGAGGAAGTTGACATATGCCGGTTGTTTTTCCTCCATCTTGATGAAAAAATGGTTGGTTGGTTTTGTCTTGTTGTTTCTAAAGACTTTGTTAGATGGACACTTATTTATGCCAAGTCCAGGGTTGCAGCCATTAGATATTTATAATATATTTATATATTAATCTAGTGATTTAAAAAAAGTATCGATCTTAATTTAGTAGTGTTAAGTTAATTTACATACCTCTATGTTTGAGGTAGAAAAAATAAACTAAGTATTCTTTGTCCATTTAAAATGCATTATAAAGCGGTAAAATGGGTATAAAAAATGAATAAATATATTTTTGGAAAACTATAAAATGCTGCTAAATCAATATTTAATATTAATTTCTTTTGTTACCAATTGAAAGGAATATTTTGAACCTTTGGAGTGTTATTGATTTATACGTTAGATGTGGTTTATGTCTAAGTTAACTCTGACTGAGGACAAACTGGAGGAAGTTGACATGTGCCGGTTGTTTTTCCTCCATCTTGATGAAGAAATGGTTGGTTGGTTTTGTCTTATGTCTAAAGCCCCATTTACACTATCCTTTTTAAATCATGTCTAGAACGGTCTGAGCGCAGTAACCTATATAACTGATGAGCGTAAATGGAACGCAACTGAACTTCACCGCGCCAGACACAACCGAACCGCGCTAAATCTAGTACTAGTTCAACAGTAGGACTCGGCACGCTTTAGTTGTGGCTCATTTATCTGATAACAAAGAGCAGCTGAGCAGACCGCATCAACCATTTACAGTCAGCTGACTCATCTCATTGGTTTTCCGTCGTGTCCGGTTTTGCAATTCAAAGATCTCTTCCACGATCCTATTCTCGGCCTATTAAAGGAATAGTACACCCAAAACATGATTAGCCTTCATTTTCTACTCACCCCCATGCTGAACAACACTCTGGAGTACTTTTTTGATATCTCAAATGCATCTGGAGATCTGGGAGGCTTCTTGCTGTCTGCTGACATTCAAATAATGGAGGTCTATTGTGCCCGAGGCAGAAAGGTCCATAAAAGTCCACAAAAACGTGTCAATATTCCTCCATACTGCTCGTCCAATGTATTCCAAGTTTCCTGAGTGGGTAGCATCCAGAATTTACTCGAAACGAAGTCATTTAGAATGTTTTTAGAGCATAAACAGTAGTGTATAGGATTTCCTGAAAGCGCGCGCCGGCGCGTTCATGAAGCTACGGAAGCCGGCAGACCAAACCAGATGAAAGTGCGTCTAAAGCTTCGTTAAAGTTCATCAGCTAATGATTAATATGGTGTCTTGATTGCATCAGAGAAGAAAGTAATAAATAATAAAGCAATGTGATCTGAGAACAGTAGCTTGGAGTACTAATGGACTGTTTCCTCTTCCAGGAATCCTCTAACTCTTCTATTTGACCCTTTGGGACAAAAAAATATAGAATATGAATTGTATATATTGATCGATTCTGTGTAAATATTCTAGTTTCTGCTTTTGTGCGGACAAGAAATCCATTTCTCAGTGACCAGGACTACGTTTATATATATTTATATATTTATTATAGTGAAAATGAATTGAAGCTTCTTAAAGTCTCTTTTTTCCCGCACCTATTAGGTCTTTATTATAATTATATTGGTTTAATTTTGCATCTGACTAGTAATTTATTCAAAGGACTTCAGACTGTCTTTAGCTTTATGCTAAGCATATGGCATCTCTCATCTCTCTAAATAGTGACTTAAACTAATGCCATAGATGGAAGTGAAGCCAAACTCTGATACATAATCTTTATTTGGATCTTTATCTGGATCGTACGATTACACAAAATTAGTTTCTCTGCGTTAATTACCATCAATTAACCTTCAGGAGGAGCAGCTGTTAAAAGAGATTTTGATTAAATCTCTTAGTGTGATCTGCAGAGGTTTTGTTTTGGATGAAGATCACATAAGATATGGAAAAAGGGTAAAAAAGAACAGCACTTCATGCTCTCTAACAACACCTGAGATTGCTTTGATGGTCTGGCTGCTGACTTTAATATATATATATAAATATATATATCACATAAGATATGGAAAAAGGGTAAAAAAGAACAGCACTTCATGCTCTCTAACAACACCTGGGATTGCTTTGATGGTCTGGCTGCTGACTTTAATATATATATATATATATATATATATATATATAGCAACTGGATAGCTCGGTAGGTAACACCGACGACTCCGGTGACCGGGGTTCGATTCCCAGCATGGACATCATCCAGGTGGACCCTCAGGCAAGGTCCTTTGTGCTTAGTGGCCTACCTCAGGCATGAGTGATACCGCAAATACAAGAGCCATACCGGCTCGGACGTCGCCCGGGTTAACAAGGTCCGCGTCAGTTGCTAGGGAACCAGGGCAACTTGATGACAAATTGGCTACTGGAACAAGACATAGATGGACTAGAGCAGAAAACTTGGTACTGATGAAATGCTACTATACAAGCGTACCCAGTGAGAGAGGTTACATGCAGAGACTATGGGAATTATGGCAGCTCCAACAACCATTGTCATCATTGACAAAGAAACAACTACTAACACAGTGTTCCAACATCCGCAAACGGCAGCTCCTTTCACAGCTAGAAATTGACGAGGTACAACTGACATGCTGCGGCAAGGGGGAGTCAGGACAACAGGTCAGTAGGGAAATATCATCATCCCAACACACAGAGATTGGGTCCCCAGCTCCAACTACAACAGGCCCACTAAACGTAAGGGCAGCTGACCTGCGACAGCAGATCATAACGAAACTGGATCCCCTAGTACAACGACCAAGACTGCCAAGGCTAAGTGACAGAGTACCCTCTGAAAGCCTTCTAGAAGATGTTAATGCAGCACTACATACTATCCCTACTAAGGACATAACTGAAACCAATGAGCTGACCTACGCCACAGCTACAGTGATCCTAGAGATGCTTGGCTATAAGATAAACACCACAGGCCACAAAGCAGAGCACCCATGGAGAAGAAGGCTGGAAGCCAAGATCAAGGCAACACGAAGAGAGGTTAGTCAGCTCTCAGACCTGCAGAAAGGTGTAGGGAAGAGGTTACCTAAGTACAACAAGCTGTCGATTCCTGAGGCTCTGGAAACTGCCAAACAAAGACTCGCCGCCCTGGCCACCCGCCTAAAGAGATACAAGGGAGAAGCAGAAGTCAGGAGAATAAACCAGGTGTTCTCCACCAATCCATCCAAAGTGTACTCACAGTGGCAGGGTAATTCAAGATCAGATCCACCCAGGGCTGAGACTGAACAGTACTGGAGAAACATATGGGAGAAGGAGGCATCCCACAACACCAATGCTCAGTGGCTGGAAGATCTAAGAACAGATCACAGCAATCTCCCAGAACAAGAACCAGTAACCATTACAACGGCAGATGTCCAAGAAAGAGCGGCAGGCATGAAGAGCTGGACAGCACCAGGCCCTGACATGATCCACACCTACTGGCTGAAAAAACTAACCGCACTTCATGCACGCCTCGCAGCACAAATGAACCAACTGCTGATGGATGGGACCCATCCAGAATGGCTAACCCAAGGACGGACAATCCTGATCAGAAGGATCCGCAGAAGGGAACAACCCCATCCAACTACCGGCCAATAACTTGCCTATGTACAACATGGAAGCTCCTGTCAGGCATCATAGCGGCTAAGATGAATAGGCACATGGCTCAATACATGCACCCTGCCCAGAAGGGAATAGGAAGCAACACCAGAGGAGCCAAGCACCAGCTACTAGTGGATAAAGCAGTCACCCGAGACTGTAAGACCAGGCAGACAAATCTGTGCACTGCCTGGATTGACTATAAGAAAGCCTATGACTCAATGCCACATACATGGATACTGGAATGCCTGGAAATGTACAAGATCAACAGGACTCTAATAGCCTTCATCAAGAACTCAATGAAGCTGTGGAAAACAAGTCTGGAAGCCAATGCAAAGCCTATAGCACAAGTCACCATCAAGTGCGGCATATACCAAGGCGATGCACTATCCCCGCTGCTGTTCTGCATAGGCCTGAACCCCCTCAGCCAGATCATCACAAAGACTGGCTACGGATACCAATTCCGAAGCGGAACAATCATCAGTCACCTCCTCTACATGGATGACATCAAGCTGTATGCCAGGAGTGAGCGAGACATCGACTCACTGATCCACACTACCAGGATCTACAGCAACGACATTGGGATGTCATTCGGACTGGACAAGTGCGGTCGCATGGTCTCAAAGAGAGGGAAGATGATCAGAACCGAGGGGGTTGAACTACCAGAAGGCCACATAACAGATGTTCAGGACAGCTACAAATACCTTGGGGTGCCACAGGCTAACGGAAACCACGAGGAGATGGCAAGAAAGACTGCCACAGCTAAATACCTACAAAGAGTAAGGCAGGTCCTGAAAAGTCAGCTGAATGGGAAAAACAAGATCCAAGCCATCAACACATATGCCCTACCAGTCATCAGATACCCCGCTGGTATAATAATCTGGCCAAAGGAGGAGATAGAGGCTACTGACATCAAGACGAGAAAGCTCCTCACAATGCATGGAGGGTTCCACCCCAAATCCAGCACTCTGAGACTGTACACCAAGCGTAGCGAGGGAGGCCGAGGGCTAGTGAGTGTCAAGACCACTGTCCAGGATGAAACAACTAAGATCCAGGAGTACATCAGAAAGATGGCCCCCAAAGACAAATGGCTTGGTGAGTACCTCAGGCAGGAGAAAACCGAAAGTGAGGACAAGAAAGAGGAAGGAGAACCATCATGGAGGGACAAGCCGCTGCACGGCGTATACCACAGACAAATAGAAGAAGTGGCTGATATCAAAAAATCCTACCAGTGGCTGGAAAAGGCTGGACTGAAGGACAGCACAGAGGCACTAATCATGGCAGCACAAGAACAGGCACTCAGTACAAGATCAATAGAGGCCAGGGTCTACCACACCAGGCAGGACCCCCGATGCAGACTGTGCAAAGATGCCTCTGAAACAATACAGCACATAACAGCGGGGTGTAAAATGCAGGCAGGAAGTGCATACATGAATGCCACAACCAGGTAGCTGTCATAGTGTACAGGAACATCTGCCATGAGTATGGGCTGCAGCTAAGATCCTATGGGACTTCAAGATCCAGACTGACAAACAGGTGATGGCTAACCAACCAGACATCGTGTTGATCGACAAACAGCAGAAGAAGGCAGTAGTGATAGATGTGGCAATCCCAAGCGACAGCAACATCAAGAAGAAAGAACACGAGAAGCTTGAGAAATACCAAGGGCTGAAGGAGGAACTAGAAAAGATGTGGAAAGTGAGAGCAGCAGTGGTACCAGTGGTAATTGGAGCACTGGGGGCTGTGACCCCCAAACTGGGAGAGTGGCTACAGCAGATTCCAGGTAAAACATCAGAGGTCTCTGTCCAGAAGAGCGCAGTCCTAGGAACAGCTAAGATACTGCGCAGAACCCTCAAACTCCCAGGCCTCTGGTAGAGGACCCGAGCTTGAGGATGACACATACCACCCCACGAGGGGTGAGAAAACAGTTTTTTTTTTTTTTTATATATATATATATATAATATGTTTAGAGTTCTACATGTGCTTTTACTTACACTGAAAAAACTGATTAAATTAGGTGTATTTACCCTTAATTTGAGCAGGTAAATGAGATCGTTTGCCAATGGAATGAGTATTTTTACTGTTAAAGTAACATATTTGAATAATATGCACTTGAAATAAGACAATTAATGTATGTTTTCTTATTTTAAGTGTAAATTGTCTTGTTCCATTGGCAAGATGTCTCTTTTACCTCCTTAATCCAAGGACAAATGCACTTATTTTAAGAAAAAATGACATATTTAGATTTATATTTTTTCCAGTGTATTGCAATTTCCTGTAACACAGAAGGTCAGAACTGATGACTATGTTTTTAATTAGTTGGGAAAAGACCAACTTCAAGATCTATTTACTTTCACAAACCTGTTTAGGGGGAGTAAGAGCGCTTATTTTATTCTTCTCTTGTGTTGACAGTAAGATTCACAGTCATTTGACCCATTTGGCTTTTTATCTGAAAATAATTTTTATTAAATGAACAAACACGTGGCAGTAAAGTTCTGGTCTAATATCGGCTATGTTATCATCAATTTATGATTATAGAGTCTTAGATTAGAAGGCGTGGCTCCAAAGGTTGCACTTCTGTCAGTATTATCTATGAATGATGTAATACTTGTGAAAGTGACTTTTCTGCTTTGAAAGACAGCAGAGAAATTAAAGCGGATTAATTTCTTTTTCATGTGTTTAAAGCTTTAAAGTATGGTGGAGTTTGCCCTTTAAACAACAGTGTTGGTGTTTGCTAAAGCTGAATCTAAACATTACACTCCCCCCTCTTTTCCTCAGACTCAAGAGGTCCAGAAGGCCATGGACCAGAAACGGTTCGAGGAGGCGGTTAAGCTCCGGGGCAGGTACGATGGCGGGGAAATCTTTCATCTTTATTTGACCGATTTCACTTTGGTCGGTTGTTTTCAGTGAGCTGAAACGCATCAGAAGAAAAGTTTAAAGAGGAACACGAGAGCTGACGGTGTTCGCTTGTGTTTTACAGGAGCTTTGAAAACAACCTGAGGACGTACAAACTGCTGGCTCACCGTAAACCAGAGTCTGAACTGCCCGTCGTGAGTACAAAACATCGAGTTTCACACATACACCAGCCCGCCGCATTATACGCCCAGAGAGCAGGTTGTTTCCCGGGAGCCAAAAACGACCTCGCTAACCCTCAGATATATTGAATTATTTATTACAGTCCTGAGGTTCTACCCACAAGTAATGACTCAGATACTGCAGGCCTGATGCACTGTGCTGATGTGACTGCTGGGTTCTTGGAAAAAACAAGATGCCTTATAAATAGCTAGTTTCACCAAAACACGAGTATTCCAGTGCATACATTCTCACATCATCCCAAGTCTTGGAAATCAGATTAAAACACCTTTAAAAATGGATAAAGTTACAATGGTTAAAGGGCTATTTGTTGGAGATAATGATCTGATCAGATGAAAGAAAACCAACCTTTCTGGGCTACAAATGAGTGCAGCACATCATCAAGAAGACACCCTCCTCACCTTGGTGGATGCAGTTCCTGACCAGGAACTGATGATGTTAAAAGATCAAGCAACCCTTTAGAGGTTGCAGAACAGGCTAAATCAGGGATCTGCAAGCTCTCAAATCCTTAGAGCCATTTTAGCATGAGACCAGCTAAATTTAAGTCGTCCTTTAAATAAAAAAAACTTATTATTTCTGCTGAATATCTGTTATCAAACTGTTGCGGCCTTCGGTTCTAAAAAAGACCAACATTTCCAGCAAAGTCAGTGGGCGGTAAAAGGTGGTTTCAGCCTTTGTACGCACTTTAAACTCGACTTATTTATTGTAAAAGCAAAAACAAAATAATGACTAAAATTGTCTTGCAACTTTGTCGAAATGAAAAATAATGTTAATATTTAAAGTCCCCCATAAAGTGGTCAAAAAATCATTCTTCAAAACCTTCCGTCCACACCGGACATTTACCAAACACTCCACCAGCATTCGGTGTGTTCTTAATTGCACAAATTAATGGTAGACTCTAACAAAAAACAACATAATCTAAGCAATAAAAAATATAAAAAATAAATTAGCAGTTTTGGTTCTAAATTAACTTAAATATATTCTAACGACCCAAAGAAGAAAACTAAATTTAGCATGAATAGCCACAACACAAACAACAAACAGTTCATTTATATTTATTGGTTTTTGACCCTTTAACACAAAGTTTATCATATTTTGAGAGTTTGTACCATTAGGGTGATATTTTATTTTAATATAAACAATCAGACACATGCAGTGAACAAACAATCCATCATAAATTGTACAGAAATGTCTAATGATGTATCATAAAAGGCATGTATCAAATTTAGATTATTTAAAATTTATGTTTTTTTATTTCTCATAATGTTTAATAACAACCGTAGTTTAAAAAATGAAATAGTTCAGTTCTTTAATCATTTTTAGCCACCATTAAGGGCCATTTTAAAGGCTCCAAAGAACCACTTACAGCTCCAGAGCTGCAGGCTGTAGACTCATCGTCTAGACTAATATGGAAGTTTGCTTTCCTAACAAAGCAGTGTGTTCACATCAAACCGTATTTATGTTTCAATCAAGATATGCAAAGTTTTCAGAGATGGAAAAAGGAAGACATGCAGCTGGAGCAGAAGGTTGACTCAGCAGAGAGGATTAAAAATGTGTACTTCAGACTTGGACCTTGTATCCTTGATCTTCCTCTTCACATCACTGCAATCTATGTGAATTGTATTAGAATAAAGGGTGAATAAGTTCTTCGGGCATCCCTGTGTTGTCATTCAGGGCTCGTTTTCTGCAGCCGTTCATTGAATAGCATGTTGGTTATTAGCTATCTTGAGCTTCTAGTGCCCGTTTGCTAAATGCAGATAATTGCAGAGTGTGTTGGGGCTCCTAGAGGCTCAGTGCTAGTTTGATGTGACGCGAGATGACACCTCAGTCCCCCTCTGAGAGACGACCTGTTCAACCCAGCCTGGAGCTGCTGCGGCTCCAGAGGAGGCGGCTCACGCTGAGGATCGCCAAGGTGTAAAGGCAGCAGCTCGCCTCAGGCTTGGACTCGGTCTGCATCTGTAATGATGGCTCTGTGTGTTTTCTGAAAGTGTGCCAGAAGCTACGTATTGGATTCCTCTTTAGAGCATCAACAGCTTCGCTCCATCCTGCGGTGTGTCATTTAGCGAGAGAAGTGAAGCTGCATCATGAATCATTGAGAGTCTGCGTTTAAATCTAAAGTCTGCAAGGCAGGAATGACCTGTTGCTTTGTGTTTTTCATTTCTCAGAGCAACTTTAACGTGGCGGTGCTGAACGTCGGAGCCCCCGCCGCAGGCATGAACGCCGCCGTCCGTTCAGCCGTCAGGGTGGGAATTTCTGAGGGCCACAAGATGTTTGCCGTAAGCGACGGATTTGAAGGATTTTATAAAGGACAGGTGAGCTGCTGTTGACCACAATCTTATAGAAGAACATTAATAGAAGAGATTTTATAATGGATTTAAATATCTGCTCCTAAATGACCCAATAATGCAGTCTTGGATTAGTTTAATCGATATCTCACAGAGTGTGGGTTTAGCTTGATGAGTCAGATGTTACACTCTCACTGCTAGCTCCCTCGCTGGAGAATAATCAGGGAAACCCAGGGGATAATCTGCACAGATTAATGTAAACCATTTCCCAGCACCAACGTTCAGTGAGCCAGCTGAGCTGCTGCAGTACCACAGGCGACCAACAGATGGCAACAGAACAGTTGGAATGTACTCAACTCAAAATAACATCCTGTTGGATTTTTAATGATTCTCACTGCAGCTTTTAGTAAAACAATCAGGGATTGAGGTTTGAATGAAGGTAAATGTCTGTGAAAACCTGATCCCAGACTAAAGTCTTTGTTCCGTTACTGATAGAACTGGTTTCACACCCCTCCCTGGTTTCACACTCCTCCCACTGATCTTGTTTTGTCCTTTTCCCACTAAGAAACCCTTAAGGGCTTCAGGTCATGAGAATGACTTTATTCCTGTTCCTGGCTTCCACACAAGTTATTCTTAACATCTCTGTGTTTCACAGTAATACATTTCTGCCAGTAAATTACTGCAATGCTGTTTGAGAACAAAAACATGTTAATATATTGAAATATACCTGTCTGTATCCATAAAAAGAGAGAAACATAATCATGATATATTGTGTTGCTTTGCTTTAAGATTTGGGCTTAGATTGTGTGAAGATAATGGAAATAAACTGTTCTGTATATGTTTTTTAAATCATGTTATAATGAAAAACCTGTGTCTGAAAACACCTTTCGTACCCGTTGTCCTTTTTCCAGATTAAGGAGATCAAATGGGGCGATGTTGGAGGCTGGACGGGGCAGGGCGGCTCCTTGTTAGGAACCAAAAGGTGAAAATCTGAAGCTGATTTCCTTCTATTAATCATTGGTCAAGTTGGAGTAGATAAAATAAATCAGAAATGAATAAATTCTGCCCCTGGTTATAAAATTAATTTCAACTTATTTTGCAGTTAGTATTAAACATATAAGCGAAAGCATTTTATCCTAAAGAGGAAAGTTGTGACTTTGTAAAACATCCTGATCTAAAAAAACCGACCTCATGTTAAAATAAATGGTGCATTTTTTTTTTCTAGATGGAGATATGGAATCAATTAACAGTTAACATTTCTGTTACACATAGCTACACGGTTTTAATGTATAAACGAGTCTGCAGTAAAGAGAACATGCAGCACTTAATGAGCTGTTGCTTCTACTTCAAGGAAAGGAAGTAGGGCTCCAAGAAGGAAGTGAGTAGAAACAATGGGAAGGATTTTTTTACTCCTTCCAGTTGGTAAATCAACACAGAGGTGAAGGATGTTTATTGTTGCCAGGCAGCTGCGACGAACATCTGGAGCAAATCCAGACAAAATAGGAAAGTTGTGAAGAGAAACATACAGCTGGTCTAAGAATGAAAAGAAGAACAATAGGCAGGAATAAGAGGAGGTTTAAGACTGATTTATGCCCATTATTAAAACCTAATCAGATGAAAACAAGGTTCCACTTATAGAGCTAAATAGTTTTTTTTTATTTGTCACTAAGATATATATATATATATATATATATATATATATATATATATATATATATATATATATATTATTTTGAATTATAGATGAGTTTTTGATCAGAGTTTATATATTTTTTTATGTTACAGTTTATTCGATGAATATTTATTTCTGTTAGCTTTGCTCTATATATTTTTGTTATTTTATTATTTGGATCATTAAGCTATTTTATTAATTTATTAGTGAGTTCATTAGATGTTTAAAGGTTTCTACGGGTGCTGGAAATCCTTGAAAATGCTTGAATTTTGACGTTGTGTTTTCAAGGTTTGAAAAGTGCTTATATTTTGGATGAAATGCTTGAAAATGCTTGAAATTGTAACTGTTTCTTTCGCAACAAATACCTATCTAACTGAATCGTGTTTTTAATAAATGGAGAAATAAAATGTTGGAGAGCCCGAAAATGAAACCTGCTCGCTTATGTGCGACTGCGATCTGCCAGTCTATTTCCATGTGTGACTCCGCCCCCATGAAACCACTACGGCACCATGCCGGGAGGTTGTCGTTTCAATGAACGTTGGCTGGAAGATGAAAAATACAAATTATGGATTAAACGGGGACAAACCCCACAAGTTGCCTCTTGTAAAGTCTTTAATTAACTACTTACCTTTCCATATAAGGTTCACCGATGATGAAGACGACGAACACGTCCCCCCCCCACACGTCTCCTCGGATGATCAAAGAAAATTACACCGGCTAAGTTACTGAGTGACTGAGAGTACGGTGTGATAATGTAATGTTAGTATTGCAGTGTTTCCCGCAGCACTATCTCACACTACCGCCTCGCCAACGTTCCAAAAAAAACAACAAAGTTTTAATTCATTGCCAGGCCCAGCCCTTAAAACAGCATTGATAACTCTACGGCTGATAATACTGAATTGCGACACCCTCTGGTCTGTTATATTACTACGCCATGGCAGAAGAGTAATTTTCTTTGATCATCCAAGGAGACTTGTGGGGGGCGGGGGGAAACGTGTCCGTCGTCTTCATCATGGGTGAACTATATGTGGAAAGGTAAGTAGTTAATTAAAACCGATAATACAAAATAAATATCTGCCTCGTGAGCTCTGACAAATTAAGATAGGATTTAGTTTTATGTATTCATTTTGCCAAAACTGGTTCCGTAAGGTGCTGGAAAAAGTTTTAAAATGGATCTTGAAAGTGCTTGAAAAGTGCTTGATTTTGACTTTGGAAAAGGTGTACGAACCCTGTGTTTATTCATGTTACTTTATTGTGTACTTTTTTTTTTATCCTAGCTTTTTATTATTTCCTGGTGTGTTCTCCTGTTATTAATATGTTCATTTAAAGTAATTCTTGAACAATTTAGTGTTTTTATTTTTGTCTGTTTATCTTTTTATTTACTAGTCAATATATATATATTTTTTATCTTAATCCGACCATTATACAATCATTTTGTAACTGATAGGTTGGTAATATTGTCTTTTCTACGTTATATAGTTTTTCATTAAGGTATTGTTTTACAAAGCAAGAATGTTCATCTATATAATAGATGTTTTTTTTTTTTTTATGTCTCTGATTTATTCTTCCACAAAGTCAAACAAGAGACTGAATATCCTACCAGAATACTAATGATTCTGTTACTTTGTTTTAGATTTTAGTTTTATTCTTAGAAATCTCATTCAGTGTCTTTTATGAATACAAAACTAGCATTACTTTTATTTCTCCTCCTCAGGACGCTTCCTGCAAAGCATGTTGACAAAATTGCTGAGCAGATGCGAAAGCACAATATAAATGCTCTGCTGGTAATTGGCGGATTTGAGGTACGTTCAAATCTTTTCTGTTGTTGTGTGATTATTTGCTCATGAGGGCTATCTTTCACTTTGCTAACAAGCTCCTAAGCTTTTCACTGATGTTTATTATTGACTAGAATCAGCATTACTCCTAATCTTATTAAATCAGACAGCTGTTGTGCTTTACTCCTAATATCAGATGTGATTATATGCTGAATATTGTTTAGTGTTGATGTATTCCATTAGTCTTATCCCTTTCATGCCGAGCATCACCATATGGTCCATGTTTAGAAATCAATGCTTCAAAGTCATTTCTCTGCTAAAAACAGCAAGAAAAGACGTAATGAGATTAGTAGCAGCACATATTAGCCTACATTGCATATTTATTTTTTTGCTGTAAACTCAGATCTAGAGAGAAAAACTTGAAGCATTTGGATATTTTCATTGAATAGACAGATCATTTGATTTGGAACATCTGCTTTTCTCCGGTCATTTCACGCAGTTCTGTTTAGATGCTCACCGGCTTCAGTTTTCCTTTGATGTATGGAAGTAAAAGAGTTGTCCTTTGTTTATATGAGTGTTTGTGGGGCTGAATGTGGAGTTGTACCTGTCTGTTTCGCCGCTGTCCGTTGTGATAGACCTGGCTCCTCCCCTTGGCACCCTCCACTTATGTCTTTCCCTTCCTTTTGTGGCAAGTAGCACCTTCTCAAACCGAACCCACCTGCCACGGTTTCACCTCTGCACCACTAAAGTCCTTGGCTCTGCCCTGCAGGCCTTGCTGTCACTGCTGGAATTATCAGAGGCTCGTGGGAAATATGACGAGTTCTGTGTGCCCATGGTCATGGTCCCGGCCACGGTCTCCAACAATGTGCCTGGCTCAGACCTCAGCATTGGCGCTGACACGGCTCTGAACGCCATCACTACTGTAAGTGATGGGGCTTGGCGACGAGATTAGATGACCTCAGCAACACAACCAGATAAAACACACACACGCATGCGTTCAAGCATGAAACTGGGAAAACATGCTGACGCAGCAAGCCCAGTCGTTACAAGAAGGGAGAGATCGCTCGCTCAGTCTTTTCACCAGTGACTCAATTCCTGCCTTCCTGTCGCAGGATTATTTGGCAACAATTCTTGTGACGGTCAGCATCTGTAGGCCGCATCTGGCCTACAGAAGAGCTTAAAAAAAAAATCCAGACACAAAGCATGTCTGCTCTAAGAGGGCAGACTTGTTAAAGTTACAAAGTACTGTAGCATCCCTCCCTTCCAAAGCAGGTAAGTGAATGAGAACGTGGAGGCATGCTGTGCACAAGTGACGTGACCGCCATGTTTGCTCTGCCTGCCCCTCTGTCTGCTCTGCCTGCCCCTTCTTTTTAGCATGAAGATGAAAGGCGAACAGAGCGCACACCCCGATGTCTTATTAGTACATAAAGGAAACGGGAAAAGGAAAAAACTGTTTGAAAAATGCAAATAAAACAAATTTCTCGTCTGACTTAAATTGATGATTATCATTTCCTTACAGACACTATGAAAACACAATCGTTCCTGCTTTTGTCATAAAGTTTACTTCCTGCAGAGGAAATGAGTAGATTACAAAAAGGATTACTGATATTTTTGTTCACCTTTAGAATTGCGTTAATGAAAGATCAACAAGTTTAGTCCTAAATATAATGCTTTCTGTAAAGTTAGAACTCTTTTGTCTCCATATTAATTTTTACTGATTGTTTCCAGCTTTTTATCTCTTGATTTTCTTATTTAAAATAAAACAAAAAAAAATTCAACATTTTACCATAATATTGGTCATTTTTAGTATCTAAATAAAATGATTCCAATCTTAAACTCAAAACTTATACTTTAAATATAATTTTTAAGCTGACTTTTTAATATAAATCCTTACTTCACTAAAATATTTAACATATTTTAGATTTTTCCTCTATAATTGTTTTAATTAAAGTGCATCGTTTTGACTGTTTACTTTATGAGTTATAGTCTTTCATGGAGGAGTGAAAGATGTTTAGCCCCATCAGGGCTTTTTTTTCAGCACTTTGTTAACTAGTTAATAAAACTACTGGGGCTCACCATTTAATTGCGTTTGCAAATAAATTAAATGCAATTTTCAAATCTCAGAGAGACTCGTTTTTTTTTTCACATTATGATAAATAAATGGACGACAGTGACTTTCTCACTCCAGCCCTTTTAAAGTCATGGAAATACCTTTAAAGTGGCTTTGCCAGCAACCAGGAGTTGCAGCTAGCATGCAGATCCATGCAGGCAAGTAGAAGTTAACAAGTGAAACATCTAAATGCTGGTGGTTTGTGTACAGGAGAAAAAAAAAATCTTAATCTTGAAAACGAATCACAATTTTGAAATTTTTTGCAAAAGCATTAAACCTTAAAAGCTACTAATGTTTAGAGAAGCGTGTTTTTTATAGGTGTGCCGAGTTTTAGTTTTTTTACTCCTTTTCATTTTTAATGCTACTTTCACATCGGACGCAGCAGGAGCAGCAAAATCGTGGCTGAAGCAGCTTTGCTGCTCTGGCTGCACGGTGCAAAAGTGTGTCTGACGCGCGTTGGGCGGAGCTACTCTATCCTTTCTTTGCCTTGCAGCTATATTTGCTGTGATCAGTGGGAATAAAGTAGTTTTAATATGTTTTTAAGTGAGAAAATTCACCTGAAAACTTAATCATTGCAGTCAGTTCATCCAGATTACCATCCTGCCTTCCAATATTATTTCTGTGGGAGCCGCTCAGACCCCCACATACCAGAGGTGTGCTGTCAGTAGGAATCCCATTCAACAGCAGCTTATAGCCCGGTCGCCTCCTCGCGGTTCATCGCCGCGACTGGAAGGTTCTTTTTATGTACATAATCCAAACTGCAGGCACCAGGATAATAAAAGTAAACATGTTCTGTCGGCAGGTTTCAGCATTTTAAGTTAATTTAGGAGTTAATAAACTGTTTCAGAGGGGCAATCACAGCGCTCTGATCATCAGCGATGTGTCTGTCTCACGGCCAGCTCCCAGATCAGTTTCTGTGATTGGCTGATGCGGCGCGTCGAGCAGCAAAAGTTCAATTTTTCCATCTCGAGCAGCAGCGCGTTTGTGGCGTGTCGCGAGCGTCAGATGCTTAAACGCTCCTGACGGGCTACTTCAGCTGCTCAAAACACGCTGCGGGACATTTTGCTGCGCCTTGACGCGCGTCAACCATTGACTTCGCATGTAAACTCGCTGCTTCTGCTGCGCCTGCTGCGTCCGGTGTGAACGCAGCATGATGCAGTGGAGTGCTAATGTCAGCACTAATGCTAACATGTTTCTTCTCTATTTTTATATGACTTGTTGATCATTTGACTTGTAAAGTCTATCATTGTGGCTCCAGCTAATAATAGGCTCTATGCACAGCTCCACTACTTCCTGAATTTAAGGCAGCTCCTTTGTTTCCTGTCTTTCATGATTGGATGCACTGATTAATCCAGGTGTGTATGACCTAAGTAACTGGCCAGACACACCTGGATTAATCAGTTCGTCCAGTAATGAAAGACAGGAAACAAAGGAGCTGCCTTAAATTCAGGAAGTAGTGGAGCTGTGCATAGAGCCCATTAACAGATAAAAGTTACACCAGAAGTTGTTCATGATACATGATGTTGACTTTAGTTTTTATATTTTTACATAGATTTGACTTGCAGAAATGGACGCCTATAAATAACGATGGAACTGATTATGTTCATACTGTCTGTAAAGAAAAAAGTCGAACTAAACCAGTAATATTTTTTGACTAGCATTTTTCAGATAGTCTCATTTTGGTTCTAAATATCCAACCCAGTGAGTTCGATGTGAAATAAACAACATGCATCCGAAACGGAATGATGCTGGTTGTTTCGTTATTTCATTTTATTTTTCCCGCACCGTGTGTTTAAGGATTTGATCAGTGCTGCTTGGTTGGCTTGCAGTGTATAAAACCTCCATAGCCGATATGGCAGTTTTATAGTTGCTATGGGCCTTATGGCCGCTAAGGCACACAAACACAACCTCCCATTCTGTCCTTCCTCCTTAACTGTCTGTCCTTTCATCCTTTGCCCCCTCCTCCCTCCTCAAGATCTTTCCAACCCCTTTCCTTCCCTTCGCCTCCTTCGCTATCCTTCCTCACTTCTTTATTTTTACACTCCTGCTTCTGTTTGCCAAAGGGAAGCCACAGCAGCTATCACACGGGAAAAGCCGGAATGGCAGGATACGCTCTCGCTCGCTGGGAGGGTTTTATCTCTCTCTCTCTCAGCGGCCGGCCCTCTTTAGTGGCTCTAACACGTTCTCTATATGCTGCCGCTTCAGGCGATAGAGTGTCTGCTGCAGCTTTATGAGGCCCGTGCTACCTTTGAGGAGTTTTGCATCCCGATGTGTATGCTGCCTGCCACCATAAGTAACAATGTACCCGGCACAGATCTAACTATCGGGGCAGACACGGCCCTGAATGCTATCGTGGAGGTAAGGCATTTTAAGCCGTCAGCACTGCCAGAAAAATACTTTGTTTTAAACTGTTTGTCTATAAACAGTTTTTTTTTATAACCCAAAAGCCTTTAATACAACTATTGGTCCAGCACTGATAATTACCAAAATATCAGGTCAGAACATCAGAGAAAATAATCTTTTTCATTTAGTCAATTGTTGCCTGAGCTGAATGCCCAAATGCTAGCAAGTCTTTTTAGATTTTCCTCTCTTGTAACTTGCAGGGCTCTGTTTGCACCACACCAGATATTTATGCTTTAAAGGGGTCTGCAACCTGCAGCTCCACAGCTACATGTGGCTCTTTGGATTGTAAATGCTGCAGATGCCCGATCCAGGGGGATTCTATCAGAAGCAAAATACCTCCATGCCACTAGGTGACATGGAAGATATGGTTACTACTAGGGGTGTAAATAATAATCGTTTTGTATCGATGCATCGATCCAAAAGCCGACGATCCGATGCATCGACACGTCTGCAAGAGAATCGATTTATGTTTTTTTTTCCTCCGGTCTATTTTTATCAATTTGCTCCTGGACGTAATTCTCCTCCCGTGCTGCGGTGGCGCTAAACCTATTTTGCCCTCCTACCTCGCTTCCTGGTTATACTATACAGCGGTTTGTTGCAGCAAGCTTCACACAGACGTTTTTAAATTATGCTCAATATTGAAGCGTGGTCTGTGCTACACACTGTGGGTCTAGATACGGCCGAGGCGGCGAGGAAGTGGGGGCGAGTTTAGTCCGACGACGGAGGGACTTGAGGGCCAAAAAGAGCGGAGATCCAGGTGGAAAAAGGGTCCCAGCGTTCTCGCGCACCTCGCTCTTCTAGCGGGTCAAACTTCACGAGTTTGACCCGCTTCGGTCATAAAAACAAAACAAGCCGGCCTCCTGTCTGCGGCACTGTTTGCAGTCAGCTACAATTTGGGAGAGGTGCGGCGGTGCGTCTGTGGAGGGGGCGGGGACGTCTGGAGCCGAGGTATATTATTGCACTCATTGCGTATTTTTTGATGCAACGTTTCTACTTCTGTTATTTTCTGTTTCTTCTTAAAAAAAAAAAAGAAAAAAATGCATAACGATATTACAGCTTTCATTGATTTATTCAAATTTGAAACATTGTCTAGCCTGTAAGGTGTAAAAAAAAAAAAAAAAATTTAACCAGTTAATCGAATCGCATCGTGGTGTATTCTTGAGTATGGAAAATAATCCAATCGTTTGGATCAGAAAATCGATACTGAATCTATGGATGTGATTTACACCCCTATTTTCTACTGATAGAATAGATAGATAAACGGCTGCCAAACTCTTTCCCCTAATCTGATGTTCTTATAAGTCTCTATGTTGGTGTGGACGGGGCCTGTCCCTCATTATCTGGCCACAGAGTGACCTGATACCTGATTATCAGCGCTGGGCTATTAAACTAGGAGTTCACTTCAGCTAAGGATAAAAATGATAGCCTCCACTGATATTATTACATGTAATGTTCTCTGTCATCCCTTACAGGACTCCAGTCATTCTGGTAAAACAAACAAAAACACAGCCTGAATTTATGAAACATTTAAATGCCAAGCATGCAGTTTCAGTGTTTGTCATGTGAAACGGCCTACAGTATGCCAACAGCTGAATGGCTTGTTACAGCTTCTGTAAAACTGCTGGTTGGGTTGCTGAAATGTAATAAAGGGTTGGTTTTAGCTCGACAGTTTTTGCTATATTGACTTTGTGAGCTTGGTGTGCGTGTGTCAGACCTGCGACCGCATCAAGCAGTCTGCCAGCGGGACCAAGAGGCGCGTCTTCATCATCGAGACCATGGGAGGCTACTGTGGCTACCTGGCTACTGTGGGAGGGCTGGCCGCAGGGGCGGACGCAGCCTATATCTACGAGGAGCCGTTCGACATCAGAGATCTCCAGGTTTGTAGTTTTACCTCCCTGAAAGAGGCCGTTCAGGCTCCACTGTGAGGCAGCACCTTAGAGGCGCCACCTGCTGGTTAACTACAGTCAATGTTTCTGCCTGTAGGCTAATGTTGAGCATCTGACAGAGAAAATGAAGACCAGCATTCAAAGAGGACTGGTGCTCCGGTGAGAACATTTAAAATCAGTCTGCTTATATTCAGGGTTTAACAAGAAGGAATCTGTTTTGCTCTAAGCTGCTTATATCAGGGTTTCCACGGGACATAAAAAATTATTAAGTCATTAAATTAAGGCCTGAATTGGCATTAAAATTCATTAAATGTAATAATTGTGGCAAAATGCTTTATATATAAAAAAATGTTTCTAAAAACAATTTCATCAGATAAATCATATCGCGATATATTTGCTTCCTGTTGATCGTAAAGCCGCATGTTCATAAAAAGAAGCTTGAGGCGGAGAAAAAGCTAGAGAATGGGAAAATGCAAATTTCAACAAAAGTGGCTTGAAAATGAGGAATTTGGGACACTGATGCAGCCTGTCGACAATAAAGATGACAAAGGATTTTGCCGTGTTTATATGAGAGTCATGGGTACTTGTTGATGGAATTAAAATTAATTCTAAGAGCATTAAAAAGCATTAAATTAAAGTTGCTCATTCCTGTATAAACCCGGGTCCTTAAAAAGTCTTAAAAGGCATTGAATTCTTCAAAATATAACTAAGGCCTTAATTGGTATTAAAATGTCTTAAATCATTCTTTTGTAGGTCTTAATTTTTAAAACATCATAAATAGGAATTTTTTTATTACGATTTATTTTTGTAATCTAAATAAAACGTTGAAAGTGACCATTTTTTTTTCTTTTTTTTTATAAAAAAAAAACAAATAATGGCTGGAATTATTGGTTCCGTCCCGATAGCGGAACCAATTAAAGCGTTGTTGTGGCCGGGACATTTGGGAGATGCGCCATTTACTTTTTGTCTGGAAAATATGAGCAAGTGTAAATGAAACGAAAATTGCCTCCAGCCAAGAGTTTTCTCCATGGCTAAAACCAGAACCAGGGAACATACATGAGGCTCAGTGGATTTTGTGAAAGAAGTCATTCAAGCTTGGAATGATTGGAATTAAGGCAGTGGAGCTTCACATTAGGGGTGTGCAAAATAATCGTCATGACGATGCATCGCGATTCTAATTGTGATCTACTGCATCGATTCTTAACGCAAAGTATCGATTCTTAATTTAAAAAAAAAGGATAAATATAATACATGAACGGTTGGCACACATCCGCCAAAAACAGGTGGAATACAGCTTCCAGTTAGCAGATGTCGCTGCGGATGTGTTGACGCCCGCTGCCTTGTGTCACAAGCATTTCCGTCCGAGGGATACTGCAATGACTAATTAATAAACAAAACACGGAGGAGACTGAGAAAATTCACCCGGCTCCATCACATTTCAAGTCAGATGTCAGATGCATTTTGGCTTTAAAAACAAAGAAGGTAAAAATGTAATTTGCAAAAGGGGAAATGTCATACATTAGAATTTTTTCATTTCATTGGTTTAAAGGACCAGTGAGGCCATGTAAACGGTAGAGGTGAGTATTGGCATGAGTGTTGCGATTCGATACATGTCGCGATACTTGGGTCACGATACGATATTATCACGATGTTGCAGTATCACTATATATTGCCATATCTTTCCCAGCTATCAAAATCAAATGATGACATAAAACAGCAAGTGCTGTATATTTCCATCAGAAAATATTAATTAGGTATTATTATCCATGATGTTTGGGGGTTTTCTTCCACTGTGACTGCCTAGAATACAGATTTGGTGCTGCACGCACAGTTAAAGGGCTCCACAGCGCTTTCTGTCAGAGTGGTGGTGCAGAGGTAGCCCATTTTCCCATCAATGTTTTATGTAACCATTTTGTTTTTTTAATTGATACTAAGAAGTGAAAGATCGATATTATATTGGGCAGCCGAATATTACGATATATCGCCAAAACGATTATTTCCCACACCCCTAGTAAACGGCACTGATTATCCTTATTTTGTTATTTCAAGTTTTATAAATCCTAAGCACTTTATGTCAGTTTGTCCACTCCAGTAATAGTAATATTTTTCTCCAGTATTTGTTTTCATGGCAGTACCTCTAAAAGTTGTTGGAGTTATGTAATTGAAAACATTATGACAACATGGCTGTATTTTTTAGTACTGAACAGTGTTTAGTAAAAATATTGTAAAATATTGAAAACATCGCGATGCATCGCAAAATTTCAAGTATCATGATGCATTGTGATAGAATCGCATCGTGGCATGTGAACGTGATTTGAATCGAATCGGAGTTACCAAGAAAATCAAAATGGAGTTACAGAGAAACAGCCGGTATTTCTCAGTTTTGTTCCACCCTTGTCTCTGCAACGCCTCCACTTATCACCAAATCAAACATACTAAGAAAACGATACAAAGAAAAATAGCTGCAAAAAAGACTTAGCACTGGTTATGTTGTGGCTTTAAAACTGATTTGTTTTGTTCCCTGCTAAAACAAAGTTTGTGAATTCAGTTAAATAATTGTTCAAATATATCTGTCATTTGTGTGTTTTTAGCTTTCTTCCTGTATGGGAAGCTTTTCAAAATTTGAAACATTGGTGCAGTGGTTTATGTTAAAATAAACCTTTGGGTTAAATTGTCGCAAGCAGGTTTTTCTTGTTTCTTGTGAATTTGGTCTTAAATTTTTATTTCAAGTGGCATTAAAAAGTAAAAAAGTCTTGAATTTAACTTGCCTTATGCTGTAGGAACCCTGATGCTAAACAGATCAGGTATTGGGGAGCGCTGGCCTAGTGGTTAGAGCAGTGCGCTTTTGAGAAGGTTGCAAGTAGCAACCTTGCCAAACAATGGCGGCCATTGCTCCCCAAGGGGATGGGTTAAAATTCAGAGTGAATTTCCTAAGTGTGGGACAATAAACGCATTTACATACATATTGATGTCAATGCTTTATGAGCTCTTATTTTGTAATATTAATGTAAAGGATCTCCCTCTGTTAAAACCGGGTTTGATTTGCAGGAATGAGAACTGCAACGTGAACTACACGACGGACTTCATCTACCAGCTGTATACGGAGGAGGGCAGGGGGGTGTTCGACTGCAGGAAGAATGTGCTGGGACACATGCAGCAGGTACAGTCGGCTCAGATTTGACGCCGTCATACAGTCGGTTCTTCTGGCGTGTTATGAGCGTCAACAGACTGGGAAAGATGTGATCAGATTTTTGTATTGGAAACATGCAGATCCCCTGTTTGCATATGAGGTCTTTTATTTGTGTGTGTCTGGAGATTAGCATAGATTAAGCTGGATCAAACAGAACTGTTCTTTAACTGGAGAAGAGTTAGAAATTAGTATTTTTGATCTTTTTCATTGCTTTAGTCACGACAAGTTACTTTCATGTATTTTACTTCAAATTAATGAGGCAGAACAACACAAAATTATAATAACTGTAAAAGGGAATATTTCTTAAATTTCTAAACCTGTAATTAAAGGAAAAACAATGTTTCCTTGGACCATTTAACTTTAATATCCATGAAGAAAAAGACAAAGAAATACCATTTATTCACAGTTCATGATCCAGCTGCTCAGTAAAGGCCTCAGCGTCACTACACTGGAAAAAATCTAAATCTAGATAAGTCATTTTTTCTTAAAATTAGTGCATTTGTTCTTGAATTGAGGAGGTAAAATAGACATCTTGCGAATGGAACAAGACAATTTACATTTAAAATAAGAAAACACAATTGCATTGTCTTATTTCAAGTGCATATTATCTAAATATCTTATTTTAAGAGTAAAAATACTAATTCCATTGGCAAATCATCTCATTTACCTTCTCAAATTAAGGGTAAATACACTTAATTTAAGAAAGTTTTACTTATTTCTAGATCGTTTTTGCAGTGTAGGACCGAAGGGCTCAGCTGATTGGTTAAAGAAAGATTAACGTAGCTGTTAGCTTCAAATGTGTCCCAGTATGGCACTGCTGCAAACCTCTGAAGACTTGGCTGGGCAGCTAAAGAAAGAAGTCATGTTATGCAAACAGGTGAAAGAGGATGTGTCAGGCAGTAGAGGTCAAAATACATGCAAAACCTAGACTGTCCATTACCCTGAGGAAACTATTTGCTTTAGCAGGGACAGATAATCCTCCCACAGAATGACAACCCAAAACACTCAGAGCTTCAACAGAAAGTTTAAAGCAGAATTATGTGTTAAGATGGCCTAGTCCAATCCCAGACCTCTATTTAACAGAGAAACGATCAAAAGATGTAGGAGCGGATGCCTAACTCAGGTTGATCTGTGTTGCAAAGACTGTCCATATTCGTTGTTTCTTATGCTGTTTTCTAGGGATGGAACGGTTTATGAAAACCGGTTCGACTGTCTCGGTTCGGTTCGCGTGTGTTTCGTTCAGTTCATGCGCTGCTCCTTTTTCTTATATGCGACGCATGTACACTCCAGAGCAGAAGGTGGCGGTACTGCGACCAAAGCCAACCACCAGTAGTAAACAAGAAGAAGAAGAAGCGAATCAGCGTAGCCGGGTGTAGCAGAAGAAAAATCAGTTGTTGTGGAGAATTGTGTGGGTATGGCGAGTGGGAAAGAACAGGAGTTGGAAGACGCGCCAGCAGCACTTTATAGGTCTGCTGTATGGGACCACTTTGCATTTAGAGTGACCTACGATGACGGCGGAAAGAAAGTGGAGGATAAAAGTGCAACAGTGTGCAAGCATTGTGCAACACGTTTTGTTTATGCTAACAGCAACACGACCAACATGTCAGGCTAACAATCAACATATACCGAACCGAACCGTGGATTTTGTGAACCGTTCCACCCCTACTGTTTTCTCATAAAATGACTGATGGATGTAATTTCTTTTCTATCCACAAGTATAAAACGAAACTAAATGGAAAAAAAGAAAGTTTTTAGAAGCCAAATCTTTCTGACTTTATTTAGAGACATGTAGGATGCTGGGATTCACTCTTAGGCTACGTTCACACTGCAGGCCTTAATGCTCAATTCCGATTTTTTTGTGAAATCGGATTTTTTTGCGTGTCCGTTCACACTTCCAAGTATATGCGACTTGTATGTGATCTACTGTGTGAACTGAAAGCGTTCAACCGATGTGTCCCGCATGCGCACTCGAGGACGCGATGATGTCACATGTAGCAAGCGTCCTCAGTGTTTGCGGAAATAAACATGACTCCTAATACTGCAGCGTATATTGCGTTCTTTAAGTTCTTCTCCAACAGGAGCAGGTACATTACAAACGAAATCTTTTTAAGAAGATCAAAAAGAAAGACCCTCCCCCGGTTCCGGTAAGACCCTTCGAGTTTGGTCTGAATTGAGCTATCTTTCCAAATATAAATTAAGTCAGCAACCTCACTTTCTCTCATTGACTGCTCTCTGTGTTATCTTCCGCCATGGTTGTTAGTTTTTCCCGCCTCCGCTTAGTAGGACGCAGATTAGTAACGTTTAGTAACATTTGTCAAGTATCAATGACGTGTAGGTCGGATGAATGCGACCTGGCCGTACAGACACAGGTCGCATTTGAAAAGATCAGATACGTATCGGATTCAGGACCACATATCCAAGTGGCCTGGGTCGCATTTGAAAAAATCCGATCTGTGTCGTTCAGATTGTCATAAAAAGAGCAGATACAGGTCACATATGGGCAAAAAAATCGGAATTGGGTCACTTCAGGCTGCTGTGTGAACGTAGCCTTATTCTTCCTTTTTATATTTATAATCTAACCTTTTGTTGCTCTATTAAAAAAAAGGTACAATATTCACAAGGTATGAGTACTGTAGCATGAGTATTTCTGCTCACTTTGTCAACATATGTGAGTGATAAACCTTCCATCAAAAGAAAGTGTCAAAAATTGTAATTCCTTTGAAAGGGAGGAGCGCCGTCCCCGTTTGATCGCAACTTCGGGACCAAGATCTCGGCCAAAGCCATGCAGTGGCTTTCCCAAAAGCTGGTGGAGACGTACAGGAAAGGTAAGGTTCGCAGTTAGCCGTCTGTGTTGGTAGATGAACCAACTGTGGAACCGTAGCCGATCCTCCCTCCCTGCAGAGACCAGACTGTTGTGAAGCAGACCTGTCATGGAGTCACTATAGATTTTTAATTTTAATGAAATTAATGTTACAGTCTATTGAGGGGGAAACCTGTTTTTTTTACATCTGAGTGTGAGAGATAAATGATTCAAATTTAAAACTGCTCTTTTGTTTTCATGTCTTGTTTCCCTTACACGTGGATGACTTAAAAGACGAAGGTAAACTTGGCTTTTTACGCTGGCTCCATGACCATCTCCATGATTTTGTTTAGCTCCATGTCCCTGTGTGCCGTTTAGTTCTGTCTTAGAGATTCACACCTCCTCTGCAAACGCTAGCGGGGTACAGCTGTGTCCGTGACTTTCGTGTTGATAAGCAGCCGCCTTGCTGTTCTATTTTCAGATTATCACTCGTCTGAAAGTAATCTGGAAATGTGTAACCAATGGGCTGGATGGATTAAGCTTTTTACCCTCTTCTTTTCTGTGTGTAGCATGTTAGCTTTAGTTGATTCTGATTTTATTTTGCATTTTCACCTCTTTTTGGTTAACATTTCACTAGTGTTTTATTTTGGTTGCTACTGAATAACTGCGATCATCCCTCATGAAAGCGTCTCACTGAAGAGTTAAAGCTCTTTCATGTTCTTCCACATGTAATTGCTGCGATGTTTCCCCGCAGGCCGAGTTTTTGCCAACAGCGAGGACTCCTGCTGTCTGCTCGGGATGCGCGCCAGGGCTCTGGTCTTCCAGCCTGTTGTGCGGCTGAAGGATGAAACCGACTTTGTGTGAGTGTATTAGAAAGGAAAGCAATACCGCCCAGAAGAGAACGCTGCTTTCTAAGCAATCCCTCTGCGTCTTCATTCAGTCACAGGATCCCCAAAGAGCAGTGGTGGCTGAAGCTGCGTCCTCTGATGAAGATCTTGGCCAAGTACAAGACGAGCTACGACGTGTCCGACTCGGGACAGGTCGAGCACGTCATCCACAGCCGACCCAAAGATTCCGACGCTTCGGTCGCCATGTGAGGGAGCACGCCGCGCGGCGTCACAGGAAGTCCAGCCCGTGTGTGTGAGACTAGCAAGTTCGAGCTGTTAGTCCAGATGTTGTAGTGGAGAACCCAGTGAAGCGCTGACGTCGTTTGGCCTCATGTTGTGTTCATTTCCTGTTTCTGTCATCCCTCCTCCTCCATCCTCCAGTTTCAATTGTTCCCATCTGATCATGACTGACGACTTTTAACCCCCACAGCACTCCTACTGTTACATTCACAGCAGTCTTGCCATGCAAATGCGTGTTCTCGTCGCCCTGGTCGTTTAGTGTCGTTGTTGTTTTTAAATTGCACTTTTCTCTGTCTCATGTTGCATAGACAGGCTCTGATCGCAGAGCTGCACCAGGACAGAATAGACACTTTATCTGCAGTAAAAACCAGAGCGTGTGTCTGCCTAGCACAAGCGCGGGGTTCAGCATATTTATGAGTCTGATGCAACACCGTTCTACTGCTGCAGGTCAACTGTGTGCTGTGCTTTACACAGAGATCTAATATTTATATTCTTAACATTGTTTATTTTGCTTGTAAACATAGTTATATTAATTATTGTACTGTAGGCAATGCTGTAATGAGTAGTTGTCTGTCATTGATCCAAAATCTAGATGTGTACGAGAGCAAAGTTTACCAGAGAATAAAAAAATCAGACTTCATACGTGTGATTTGTTGATTATTGACACCTCATAAAGCATATTTACTCAGTTATGACAAACATAAAAAGACATAAACTGTGGTTCAGATTTAAGTGGTGGAAAAATAGACAAATAAACTACAGACTCTTCAATAGCAAAGCAGTGATGATCTGCAGAATAAAAACGAATCAAAAGACTTCAGAAAGAAGCAAATGAAGCTTGATCTTAAGAATAAACCAAAGGAAGCAAAAACAAAGAGTAAATATTCAAAAAGAACCAAGTCACTAGATGATATCAAAGGGAGGAAAGTATGAAGTGATAATTAAGAGGATTTAAATTTACTGCAAGATGGAATAATGACTGAAAATGACAGAGATGCTGCTGGACCACAAGACAGAGCAAATTCAAAAAGATGCCAAAGCAAACAAACACAAAAAATGATGTATACCATAAGGAATAAATTCAAAAATACTTCATTAGTCCCAAAGGGAAATTAAATTAAGAGAGAAACCACAGAGCTGTGCTGTCTGTAGTCACTTTTCTGGGGGTCGTTTAGCTGTCTGCACATCCCTGCACCCTAAAGTGTGCACAGAGGCTCTGATCAGCTTTATTTCATCTGAAAAAATCAATTAGCCATATTTGGCTAACTGTGAAAAAACAGAAGATCCCAGTTTGAGCATCTGGTTAAAGGACTGGAGATGTTCAGTGATTCTCTTGGGAGGGGAGCTCTGTTATGAAGCACGGCCAGCAGATGGCGGCAGAGCACTGTGAGGCGTTCACCAGTCCCCGGTTCACTGGGTCCACGGTGACATGGATTCCCTCCATCACTGGCTGTCCACCTCTTCTCTTTGCAATTCCAGTCTACGGTAGCTTATTACTAAAGTAGATTAACTGTGTGTTGTCACGTGTGTGTGTGTGTGTGTTGCCATAATTAGGAATTAATCTGATCATTTGAAAGAAAAATTCAATTTCCCATGGGTGTATTAATTGTGTATTTGTAATTGGGCTCCTTTTTTTCCCCATTTAAATTGACCTTTTTTCCCCCCCTGCGCTAACTGGGAGTAATTACATACATGTATGGCTGTGGAGAAGCCATTGCTCGGTGACAGTGGAGTGACGTGAAATGTAATTTGAAGAAAAAGCTACCTGAATCACCTTTGCTCCCCACAGACTGTCCAAGAATAATTATTACCCCCTGACTTATTCCTGCGTGGTTAATGCAGGTTCCCACCCACAGCTCCCCACTGGAAGGAGACCGGTGGCTTTTCCTGAGACACCGATGGCTACATGGCTGAGGGTGTAGGCAGTTTTGTGTTGCAGGCTGCCTATTCCCTCAGCATGAAATTAGAAAAGCTCAATAATTTGGGTTGATTTAGGAATGCAAAGGGGGGAGTGCAGGGTCATATGCACATAGGTAATCAATACTAATTACCATTTCATTTCTCCACCCCACTTTCTTTTCTTCTACAATCACACATGAATCCCATCTTGCTGGACTGATTAAAGGTTGCAAATGAAGCATCCTCACCTCCTGATTCTCATCAAAGGCCAACCACACGCTCAGTAACTTTGTCTTCATTTAATTCTTCGCTGTCTTCAGACAAGGCCCCAATTATAAGCGCGCAGTGAATCTCCAAAATAGCTTGTGCACATTGACCTTTTTAGATTAAAAGCACATTCTGTATCTCTCATGGACTCCCCTGCACTCCAATTTCCCTCCTAATGAACCGCACTGGTTGGGATTTCTAGTGCAGTAATAACTAGTTAAGGGCCAGCAGTGCTGAAATAGATCACTGTAAAGGTAGGCTGTTAACAATAGCAACGAGAAGCAATAAATCCAGACTGGATGTGATGAAAAAAAGAAAAAGAAAAAAAGCTTTTTTTATGATATTTTTTTTACTTTCTTTGCTCTACTCTCATATTTGACACTCTGGATGAATATTAATGCAAAGATAAAGCTATGCAAGGATCAACGAGCGCATGATGCCTACACTGCAGGATGAAAAACCACACAACAGCAGAAGTTATGGATTTTTGATATGAGCTGCCTGCAGTCCCCGTCGACTGCATAAAAAAAAAACCACACACACGCTTTGCAGGAGCTGGCTGCCAAACAAACAGGCGTGAATTACAGGACCTGTTTGCAGACTTTCAGATGGGGGATTTGAGCCATCCCCCGCACACAAGAGAAAGGCTTAGACTTAAAACAACTCCAGTGAGTCGCTCTCCAATTTAAGGCCTCCTGAAAATCCAGCAGCCGAGCAGCTCTCTGAAACGCTCATCTGAGAATCTCCTTTTGACAATTAAGACACCCATGGAGGCATGGAAAGCTCTCAGTTCCATTAGCCTCTGTGCTGGTTCCCTCTATCTGCCCACTGAGCCTTAACTTACTTATTAGTACAACTCCGCCATATTTTGTTAGGGAAGCGATTAGCGGAATCTACATGAAAAGGCAATTTCCCTCTCTTCCTTTCTTTCTCCTTGCTCCCTCACACTTGGCTGAGATCAGACAGATCTAAAGAATGGCATTTGGGCACTAATGAAATTCGCTCTGCACCATTTCGGATGTTAATCTCGGGATGGAAGTGACTTGTGTCTTTATTTACTTGTTTCTGTTTGACAAATGGTCAGAGTTGGCAAAAAAATAAAAAATCACATTGTCGCTGGTGTTGCTTCCCCCTCTTTAACCAAAGGCAGGCGGCAGGGGCTGGCAGTCAGCTTAGACGCTGCAGCTCCACTTTGATGTATTGGAGTTAATATCTTCCTGACATTTCTCAGGACAGATTTTCATCACTGGATTCATCTGTACTTTTGAGGCTATGTGATAAATGAGTCGGGACATTCATTTTCCTCTCCTCTGTTGCATCTGTAGAGGAGCGGCGTGCGCGTGGGTGCACATGTGAGCGCCATGGTCTGTCCACTGTTGAGATGCAGGGGTGTAAATCTTTCGGCTCAGCTTGTGCAAATGTGTGTGAGTGTGTGTGTGTGGAGCCCATGACACGAAATAGACGGCGGCATTAATGGAAGTGACATTAATTTGACAGAGCGCTCACTAACATGCGAAGTCACTCGCAGTTCATAAGAATAATATTAACTCAGCATTAACATGCAAGGCTGTCTGTTGCACCAGATGCCGAGTGTTTTGGAGAGCGGGTGCTGCAGTCTGTCTTTCTGGGCCACAACTAGATGATGGCTGGATGTATGCAGAGCAAGAAAAGCCTCTTTGGTGATGTCTGTGTGCTGCTGACACACTAACCCCCCAACCTCCCACGGTCATGGCTGTTTGAAGGAGGAAAAAGGGGAAAAAAAGTAGGGTTATAGCTTGCACAAAGATTACCAAACACTAAAGTTCATGGAAACATGGTTTTATTAGAAAAGCCTAAAACAACAACAGTTTGACACGCATTGTACTCAGCTGCCTTTACTCTGACGCCCAAAATAAAATCACATGCAGCCAACCTCCTTCAGAAGACTCAGAGGGATGAGGAATCAGTGTCACGGAAACCAAGGAACGCATCAAATCAGGCGTTGAAGACATTTCGCCACCTCTCCAGGAAGCTTTCTCAATTGAAATGTCTGGATTCGCAGTGAGTTTGAGTCTTATATAGACAAAGAATTGTATCGCTTGGAAACATGCATACGGTAACCGATGAATGGGTCGTTTGGTTCAATTGTTAGCCTGTAAAAGACATTTGAATTGAGAAAGCTTCCTGGAGAGGTGGCGAAACGTCTTCAAATCTTGGAAACCAAGTCCAGTGGATATTTTTTGGAACTTTTACGGAATGACTATGACCTGGATGACTGAGAATCTTCATCAGCAAATCAGGATTATGAATGTGGAGAACTTCAAAGCAGTGTGATGTCATTGAGGAGTATCCCAGTCTTTGACAGACTCCTTCAAATAGCATTCAGCAGACCCGTGCTATCTCTGGAGGAGCTGCAGAGATCCACAGTTAAGCATGGAGGATGGGTGAGTAGGATAACTATCATAAACCCCACAGGTCTGGCTATAATTAAGAGGTGGAAAGCAGAAAGCAATGGTAAAAGGGAATAGAGTGGCTTTTTAAGGTTTTTTAAGGGGACAAAAACATGTTTTAAATACAACATCCTCACATGGCAGTGGTACATTCATGCTCTGGGGATGGTTTTCATTACAATTGAGAAGTAAGATCCAGAAACAGGGGTGGAGGATGGCCTTCCAGCATAGACTTTAAACATAAATCCAGATCTACTGTGGAAAAATGTATTACTGAATAAAAAAAAAAGAAGAAAAAGAATGATCTTACTTTAACTTCACGATAAATGCACTATTTCGTGGTAATAGACAAAACCACGGCGCAATACATTGAACTTTGTGGTTGAACCATGACGAAGTCTGAAAAGGATCGGGTATAAATAGTTTTTCAAAGCGCTGGAGATATTTGCTCATCCCTGCAAAGGAGATACCGCCTTTGCAGCTTGATGAATTGCTGGCATGCCCTTGAGCAGAGCAGCAACACGCACACATAATAACAAGCATAGCCAGTGGAAAAGCTGAAGGCTATTTAGTCCGAGCCATTAACACTAATCAAAAACCACTTTACCTGATAAGAACTACAGGGGTCGTCTTCCAGCTACTGGCACCCACATCCCTCTTTGCTAATATTGACTGGGCTTAAACAAGGTGCCACTGGTAGAAACCATGAAGGTGATGAAGAGATACAGGTGAGAGTGCTAATTTGTAGCAAATCGAAACGGGGACCATTCATCCGCTGACCCGAGCAATTAGTCTGTGGCGGCCTCAAAAGACCGTAATCCAGAACAGAGGAGAGACACAGGATGTGTCGCATCTTACACACACAAACACGGTGAGGTTGAGGACTAAAATAGGAAAATAAAAATAAAACGCAGGCTTTCACACATTCCTTGGAACACATGCTCACCCAGTCCTATACAGTACAGATCGGGCATTGACCAGCGCTCATGAAAGATGCAGTTATGCAGATGGATCTGGGGTGACTGAATAAAGGCCACAGGGGGCT